AAATTGAAGTCATGTATATAGAAAAAAAAAATACTTTTAAAAGCCTCTACACTGTAGTGATCACTATGCATGAAAGGGCTGCTGATGGTGATATCTTATTAACATGGTCTCTGTGATGCAATGGTGCTGGTCTAGATGTTTAGATGGAGGTTCTTTACTTTGGATTCAAAATTGTGTTGTGACTGAAAAGAGGCTTGAAAAGCTACTTCTTGTTGAAGTAAAGCTCTTATCGAAGATGGGTTCAAAACACAGTCTGGAGGCCCAGCAGAGCTTATTTAAAATAGATGACTGAAATTGTATTTTGATGCACAACAAACATCTGTTGCTATGGCATTCCAGTTTCAATGATTATGATAGTCAGAAGGCCCTTAAAGTAAGATAGACAAGGTTTAAAAGATATGTTTTTTCATATATTAGAGCATTTCAATTTAAAATGAAACTAAATGGTTAAGCTTCATGAGCTCCGTTTTTGTCTAATTTAATACAGTCCAGTGCAGCTGCAGATGGTCTTCTATAAAAACAATCATCCAATTTTCTAAAAGGCCACAAAATCATTCTATTTAAAAAAGAGAAGAAAAAAAAAAAGAAAAAGCTTTTAATTCAAAATGTTTTTGTTTGATTAGGTCAAAAAATCCAGCTGAAATGCTTAAGTGGGAAGAAGAGTGAAGTTTTGGAAAATTAAAATTTTTTTTTTTTTTTTTAACACTGTATCTGTTTGTAACACATTGTATGTTTATCGTTTTTAGGACCTCGTGGGCAGTGCGCCTCCTCAGAGGAACTGGAAGGGAATAGCGATCGCCCTCCTGGTCATCCTGATCATATGCTCTCTGATTGTCACCTCCGTTATCTTGCTGACGCCTAGTATGTATCACACAAAAAAACAATATTCTGAAGGGCGCCATGACCACATGGTGATACATTCAAAGAGTGTGTTTTTCCATGACATTCACATGTTTTTCAAGTTTTTTGGAGGCTTTTTCCTGCTGCTTCAATTCCACATCAAATTATGCTTTTTGCAACTTGTAGAAAATCCCCTCTTTCTTCTACCAGTCATGATTATTTGACATCTTTTAACTGCACCATTTTATCGCACTAGGAAGCAGAGTCTTTTCATCTTTTCACAGAAAAAGAAAGTGGGCAAAAAGAAAAAGTATGGAAGCAAAACATATCTTCATGTTGTTGATGCTCTATTTCCTCAGACCAGGTTGTGTAAGATGGGATTTGTATTTATAGTTGCCCAGATTTTCCTAACACTGCAGAATGTGGCCAAACTTTCAACTCAGGATATTATTCTTCATTACCATAAATCTACAACTGATATTTGGATGATAGGTTTACTAATTGCATGTGTTTTAATGTAAAAATACATAAATATGCAAGCAATTAACAGTAATGCAGGTAAATATGAACTGACTTGCTTGAAGAAAATAAAAGGCTTTATTTTGGAGATAATGTAATAAATTTAGGAAAAAAAATATCAATAATGCTAAACCTGAAAGGTGCTTCATAAAAATAATGCCTAAAAAGTTTACATGTTTTATTACTTTTCATATTTAATTATATAGACAAAAAAGCAAACCTTTAGTTATAAATATTTATGTATATTTGTAAATAGTATATTTTCTGTAGTTCTATTAAATTTGTGGAAAAAACAGTCCTTTTACAAGTCATATTTTATTTCAAACACCAGCTATTATAGCTGTTGATAATTTATTTTAAGATTATTAAAGTTCCTTTTGAGATAATTACTTTCCCTTAACTTTACATATTCCTTGGTTAAAAATGTGACAAAAGACAAGTTCTAATTATAAGTTCAATTTAGTCAGTTTATAGCAATTGGTGCTAGTATTTTGCCATGTCGACTGCTTAAACTCAGTTAAAATCTTCAATGAACGAGTGGTTGTAAATTTATCATGTTTTGTCTGGAATTAAGTACAGTATGGTCATAAGGGAGATCTAAAACCAACATGTGCAACTGCAATAAAAGATTTAAATCTGTTTTGGGCAAGAGGTGAAAACACGCTGCAAATACATTAATGCTCTGTAAGTACAAAGGGACTGATCTTTAAAGATTGTAAATAAGAGCAGCTAAATTGCATGCACAATCATTATTTTCTATATCATTTACAACCATTCGTCTTAATTTTTATTGTATTACATATTTTTGCTACATGCTCCATCACAACCTGAATAAGAAGGAAAAAAAGGAAAAAAGAAGATTTAAACTGAGCACCTCAGAAAGGGCTCAGCGCTGCCATCCTCCACAGAGGTGTAGCCTGGTGCATCTTTGCATATACAGTAGGTACAGGAAGAAGTGGATTAGCCAAGGCTGAAAATTAAAACTGAATACTTACAGAATAGGTCAATTGTTGGTTATGAATGATTATCTATTAACCCTGCATTATATTAGGTGGTTTAACTCTGACAAGTATCTCCGCTGTCATTATGAGGAACAGAGGGCAGAGAGACTTTTACCTGAACTGTACTTGTGATTAAAGACTCTTAAAGACTGGTTGTGATGGGAACAGTATGAGCCTTCCATGGTAGCTTCCAGGATTCAGTTTTACATAAATTAAAACACGCATATTAATAATACAAAGGAAAAAAATGATTAGTTTCTATATTTTATTTGAAATAGGTAAGTTAATGTGTTTTTCTCAACACAAAGTATTTTATAGTAAATTCTTCACTTAGTGCTGAGTACAACCAATGGACTGTTCTGTAAATTATTTATTACAATTTCGGCAGGACTAATGAAAATGGTTTCTTCAAAACAGGAACGAACGGCTTCATGAGCAGCACATTTATTGTGGAAGAAATATATAAATATAAAGAATGTTAATCTAATGTTTGGGAAGCTTTTATCCCAATGATTGAAACTCGGTGTGCCTTCATACTTTAGCTATTTTTGAAAAAAGATATACGAGTAAAATTGTTGTAAACATTCTTTGCCTGATTGCCATCCACTTAGACTGAATTGTGCATTACTAAAACAAATTAATGTCCTATGACAATATGAATACTTTTTACTCGCTGTAAAACCAGCCTGGAAATTTTTTTTTATCTGTGAAGGCCAGAGGACTGAACACAGCCAAATATAAAGCTGTGCTACTGTCTGGTCCTTGGTATTGCAGAATGAACACTGTTGCAGCTCCATAGAATCTGTCACACTCAGGGCCTACTGAGACATTAGGACAGGCTTGGAGGAGGGTCCTCTGACAAAAGTTGCCTTGGGCTGCAAAAAGTTTGACACAGCATATGTATGGTAAGCACTGCATACCTAGATATAAACAATCAATAAAACATTTCAATATAGAGGGTACTTTACCTATGAAAGGAGCTTGGGTTTACAGAAAACAGATAAAGTAATATAGAGATCTCTTTGAGCCTCAAAAAACAAAAAAATAACAATATGGGACATGCATGGTTTATCGTCTTCCCCTCTTTATGAAAAAAAAATTCAACAAACTTCACAGAAAGCTACTGAGCGACTCCTTTCAATGCTTTAGTGTGGACTTTTTAATCCTAGTTTCCATTATATTTTTTATATATCAAAATAATGTATCTATTCCATTTTAAGGCACCCTCTTACCGAATAGAAATCATAGATGCATATTTTCAGGACCTTGAAAAAGACAGGTTTCTTGTTTATATAGGGTCTGGTTCAATAATTTCAATTTGTAGTATTTTGTATGGTCTGCTCCTATATGAGTTGATGATCAATGTATTGCCCCAGTGGCCTGAAGCACTTCCATAATGCACATTTAGTTACCAGCTTTTCTTAAATTTTCTAAACAGTTGTTATTTCCACTCACAGGAATGTTTATTTACATGTGTTTTGTGTTCTTGTGTTTTATATTGGACTCACGCTGTCACAAAAGTTACTTATACTGAACGCTGCAACCAGGTTTATGCTACGTTCACAACGCAAAAAAAATACAATGAATTGAAGTAAATACTTAAAATATTTTGAATTAAATGATTTGGGTAAGCTGAAAAACAGTTGCTAAAGATGTAAAAATCGTGAAACTTTCAGAAAAGTGTTGTATAGAGAAGTTCTAAGAAAATATGCTGCATAAATGTTTTGTGAAAAGTAAGGGTTGGTATTCTGATGCATGTTTAGTGTATTGCTAATAGATAAAACAAATCTTTTGAGGTTTTTTTTAAATCCTCTTAACAGCCCCTTAACCATGGGGACAAACAAGTTGTGCATTTAAGACACATGTTTACCGGTTTAACACAGCATACAGTTTTCCTGTTCCCACGGCTGACTTTACTTTCAGCACTGCAGCCTGCAAACTAACCTCCTGTGATTGTCTTGACTGCTGCATTTTCCCTCCTGCAGTTCAGACAGCTGTTTTAATTTGATGACCCTCTTGCAGTAGGGAACATTTTACAGAGGACATGGAGTCTTTTTTTATTCTGTGCTCTTTTTTTACACAGAGACAAGTCATTGTTTCATTGGATAAAAAAGGCTTTTAAAGTGTAATACTATTCATGGCTGTTTTAATGGGTATGATAATGTGGTAAAAGCTCCAGGCGGATGTCAGATCCAATTTCCCTTTAGACATTTGCCTCACTTCTACACTGCCTTGCAAAGGGATACAATTGCTCAGATTTTTAGCTCATAAAATGTTTATAATGACGATATTCAACATAGCTTCAAACATTTATTGGTCAAAAACAACTTGAGGTCTGTAAAAAAATAAAATTGTATTATCCATTTGCAAAATAATACCAGGCCGTCAGTCCTCAATGTAGCTGTTGTTTCTTAAATATAAATGCAAAAGAAAACACTCAGAGATTTCAGACCGGCTTGCTCCCTTACTTATGGCCTGGCTCCTCTTTTGTCATCTGTCAGCTCCAGATCTTGTTTTGACTTTTTTGGTTACCATCGCACTGCCAACCTTCTGCTAAAAAATGGCTGTTACCGATTGTAGTGGTTGCATCCTCCAAGGACCCGGTGTACCTGGACTGGGTCCTGCAAGTGTCTTGAAATAAGGCTGGCAGGGTTTGACTATGGATTGTGCTAATTACATTTTCGAGTAGTCCAGGAGGAGTACCGTTAATGCAAATATCAGATTTATAGTCCCCACACTGCACAGATTTTGTGCTTAAATGTTAGCCAAACCGATTTGCACAAGGACAGATAAAACCTTTCATTAAACCAAACACTACCCAATATTTATCTGACTCAATAACTATATAAATGAATTATTTTCATAAATTTTAAGGCAAAACTATAAACCACTGTCTGTCAAACTGTCTTCAGTCCGCAATGTCTTAAATTGTCAAGAACAGGAAATGGGAGTATACCTCTTCCTGGTTCCTCCTGAGTATCAGGACCTTCATCCGGTTTTCACTAAGTGTAAGACTCTCTCTCTCTCTCTCTCTCTCTCCCACCTCACTGCACATATGACTGTACTATTGAGTTGCTTCTTGGAGCTTCTCTCCCCTCCAGTAGGTTGTATAACCTGTCCAAACCTGAGTATCGAGAAGTACATAAACGAGTCACTAGCTGCTGAAATTATCCACACCTTTACCTCTCATGCTGGAGCAGATTTTTTCTTTGTCAGGTTAAAGGAGGGATCACTAAGACCTTGCAATGATTACAGGGCCTTAACCAGAATACTGTGAAAAAGGAATATCCACTTCCTACTCAGCAGCCTTTGAACCACTTCATGGCTCACATTTCTTAACCAAGTCAGATCTCTGAAATGCTTACCACCTGGTCAGAATAAGAGAAGGAGAAAGATGGAAGACAGCATTCAAGACCCCCCTAGGTCATTTCGTATATCTGGCAATGCATTTCAGTCTCACAAATGCACCTGCAGTTTTCCAATCCCTTGTGAATGACATCCTTAGAGCTTTTTTTTAAATCAGTTTGTATACCTTGATGACTTTTTGATTTTTTAGGACCTTTTCTAAACATAAGATCCACATGTGTCAAGTTTTCCAACAACTTCTAGAGAACCAACACTTTGACAAAGCCACAAAGTGTGAGTTTTATGCAACGCCTTTTTGGGACACATTCTGGAGAGCAGGCAGATCCAGAGAAGATTCAAGCCATACTCGATTGGCCTACTCCCTAAACTTGCAAGCAACTATGTTTTTAGGATTGGGTAACCTCTACCACAGATTCATTATAAACTACAGTCAAACTGCTCTACCCATCACTTGCCTTACCTCCTCCGAATTACCTTTTATTTCACCTGAAGCCAAAAGGGCTTTTTTGGAGCTCAAGGAAAGGGCTCCCAATTCACTGATTCTGATTCAACCAGATCCAGAGAAACAGTTTTCCTTGTAGTTTAAACCTTTGACTTAGGGGTGGTTGCAAGCTTTTCGCACATTTTCACTGACGATGATAAACGTGCATCCACGTGCCTTCTTTTCCCACCATTTGTCTCAAGCAGGACAAAACTATCATGTGGTCAATAGAGACCTCGTAGACATTAAAATGGCTTTTGAAGAGTGGCGCCACTGGTTGGAGGTAGCTGAACATCTTGTTATTGTGCGGACTGACCACAACAATCTGACCTATCTCCTAGAAGCAAAACATCTGGAACCTATATAATTTAGTGCTGTCAATCGATTAAATTTTTTTAATCGCGATTAATCGCATCAATGCCTAAGTTAACTTGCGATTAATCGCATTTTAATCGCACATTTTTTTCCTGATTGAAAATCATTTAAATACTCTCGATGACATACAAAAAAATACATACAGGTTAGGTTTGTGTCAATGTTCTTTTTTTTAAATGAGAACAGGTCACAGATACTGATTTATGCCATAGAAACATATGGCAAGAAGATGGGGAGGCATGTACCAAAAAATAACAAATATGTAGCCAAAAAAAAGGCCCTGAAAACAGGCTGATGTAAAAGACAGTCTTTACAGTTAATACAGTCTTTTGAACAAAGACAAGCATTTTACCCTACTGCTATAAAATGCAGTACAGTTAACATTAGATGTTAATTAACCAAGATAATAATGAACAATTTTCAATCAATACATCAAAATCAATAGACCGACATCACTAGATGGAGGTAGTCTATGCTCTAGAAAGTTACTTTTCAGACTCTTAACAAAAATGAGAATACACACACACCCACACACACACAGACACACCCACCCACACACACACACACACACACACACACACGCGATACTGACCTGTGGCGTACACAGACAGCAAGAGTGCCGTAGCAGATTCCATTTCACCTCAGTAATCTGTTTTCTCAGCGTATTTCAGGTTGCTACTAGTTACCAGACACTCAACTTGTTTGTTGGTGGTGGGGCTTAAAGAAAAGGCACTAGCGTTACCCAGTGTATGAGCGTCTTTTTCCCTTGAGGAGCTCCGCTCTCGAAGCCTATGAGAAATGCATACACTGGGGGAAAATAGCCCCGCCTTCTCGCAGGCTGCAGCGGGATGTACTTGGAAAATTGTACCATAAAACCACATAGCGTTAATCTCACGTTAAAAAAATTATCGCCGTTAAAATGGCCTCGCGTTAACGCGTTAATAACGCGATAATTTTGACAGCACTAATATAATTACATTGGTCTCTTTTCTTTTCCTGTTTCAACTTGGTCATCTCTTACCGCTTAGGCTCTAAAAACACCAAACCAAATGCCCTATCTGGGCAATACTGCAGTGAACAGGAACCAGGAATGTCTTAACCATCATTCAACCTACCTTCATTGTGGGAGTGTTATTGTGGGAAATTAAGGATCAAGTCCTGGAGGCTCAGCAGTCTGAACTGGATTCTGGCAATGGACCTACAAACCAGGTTTATGTTCGTGCTTCCATTAGGGCCCGGCTCATTCACTGGGTCCACATTACAACATTTTCCTGCCATCCTGGAATCAACCAAACTCTCGCACTCCCTAGATTAACTTCTAGTGGCCTTCATATGTAAGGATTTTCTAGCCTGTGCAGTGTGTGCCTGCATCAAAGCTAGTAACCAGCCTCCCAGTTCTCTTCTTCATTTTTTTATCACCATTTTCACCATAATCAACTTTTTTTTCACTCTGTGCCTGACTAAGCATGTGTCTCTATGATTTATCTCCTGGGTCTGGAAGTAGTTTTGTACTGCTTTGGGGGTTAAGGCTGCTCTCAGTTCAGGTTTTCATCCCCAAACTAATAGCCAATCCGAGCACATGAGCCAGGAGCTTGAGGCATCCCTCTGCTGCCTCTGTTGGTCACACCCATCATCATTTCTCAGTTGCCTTAGGTCTAATATGTACATAATTGCCACACTTCCTCTGTTACTGGTCTGTCTCCATTTGAGTCCTCTCTAGGATCCCAGTCTGTTTCCATCTGAGGAGCAGGACACTGTCACAAGTACAGAGCAATGAAATGAACTCTATGCATTTAACCGATCCCCTTGGGGAGCAGTGGGCTTCCATTGTGCGGGACCCTGGGAGCAGTTTTGGGGTTAATGTTCTTTGCTCAGGGAAGGCAGTCCAGAGAGGCAGTCTGTGGGAGTGGGGCTTGAACTCAGAACCTCTGGATTCCAAGTGCAATAATAGGTGATATGTTTACGTATCACCCTAACCACTAGGCCAACACTCCCCCTACAATGCCTCAGTCACTATATACAGCGGGGTCTATATAGTGGACCGTTTGGACAGATGTTCACTACTTTTTGCTCCCTGTTGGTCCCGTAACCCCTCCTCCACCACGCAGTGCCTGTGTTAGCTTTGTTATTAGTTGCCGCTAGTCGGGTCGTTACAGCCTATGGCTACAGCGGGCCGCTGTGACAGAAAATCTCAAAATGCTTGGCGAGGAGAGATCTCCGCGCCAAGCATTCTAGGCTCTCTGAGTTTCTGCCTCTTATGGGGATTTCTTTTCATTCCATACGCTTCGTAGACACTCTTATGACCCTCGACCATTTTTAAAGAGCCGCGGGGAAAAAGCTGAGCTACAATCACTGTCTGAAACTGTGGCTCACCACAGATGTATGCCTGAAAGTACGCATGCGCAGACAAAAAAGATAGCTAACTGGGGACGAGGACGTAGGACAACCTTACCTAAACATATCAACAGAATGACAATTGGGAGGCCCATTTATTTAGATAATCCACCTCGAAATAAAAGATCATCCTCTATACCTTTAAACTAATGGCTACTTCCTCTCTGGTTGTCCTTTCAGCCCATCTTGGCATGCAGCAAATTATACTGATAAACCAGATTTGTTGGGATTTACAACTTTCTTCTTGTTATCTTGCCTAAAATGTTCCAATAGCCTCACCCTGAGAAGCAGTATGTTTTAAAAAAGGAGAGAAAAAGGAGCAGCATCTAGGAGTGGTGGCTTAGAATCTAACCTGGTTGTACAGCTATGTCTAATTAATGCCAATTTTGTGAATATATGACTTACAAGGCCTTAACTTTTGCCTTCCTTGACTCTGTTAAGGCATAGTAATCTTTGTGCAAGTAAGCATCAGAATTTTTAAAGAGTAATGAATGTTAACTATCACTCACAGAAGCTGAAGTTTAGTCAAATTTTATAGGACAATAAATGTAATTTGTATTTTATTAGGTTAATCTGAACATCTTGTTGTCACTGTGGAAATTATTTTAAAATATTTAATTTATCCACGCTTTATTATCTAACTGATGTGTTTGACAGGTGAAGATGACAGCCTCGCTCTTAAGAAGAAAGTAACCTTGGACGACGTCTTTGGAGCGGACCTCCGAATTCATGACCCAGACGCTAAATGGCTTAGTGGTGCGTTACCAGTTTAGCTTTGACATTTAAAATCTGACTTCTTTGTCAAAACACAACCCATACTCAGACAGCTTGACATTTTTCTTCTTGACTCACAATGTACCACTGCTATTAAAGTCTGGCACATCTTTTTCTGCAGGTAAAGCTTCCTGAACATTTTTGTGCAGCCTACATTGATAAGAATGTACATTTAGAGACATTTTAGTTAGTACAAGCTAAAAAAGTTTTTTTTTTTTTTTTTTCAATAATTCATAAAGAAGAAATCAGAATCAGTTCAACTCATTTTGTGGATCCATTTTAAGCTCTTAAGCCAAGTGAAATTTTCTCTAATGGCATGTCCAGAAGTAAATTGCTTCGGGTTGAGGAAAATATTTTTAATTGAAGTGAATTTAAATATTTATTTTAATTGTATGTTATGTCTCTAAGTGGTAAAACAAAGATGAGAGCTTAGACACCGAGAGCTGTAACAGTTCAGTTCTGCTGGAGCTAAATCAAGAACGGATAATAGCCAAATTTGCTTTGTTTTCAGGCCTGTTTATGTGCCAAAAGTAAAGTAGAAAGGAACCTTTTGTCTTTATCCTTTTGCTCTTTATAGTTTTTCAACAAAATCCTAAGAACACAAAACTGTTTTCTTGGAGCCACATAACTATGTTTGCTCTTAGAAAGCAAATAGATGCAGAATAATTTCAGCTGTATTGGCGAGTTTTAACTACTTCATTATAACAGATGCAAAAGATGTACCTCAATATATATTTCTAGCTGTCTCCTCTGAAGTAAAAACAGAGATGGAAGCTGGCAATGGAGCTTAACCCTGCTAGACCAGCAAACTTAGCGCCCCCTGATGTTCGCTGGGAAAATTGTTCCAAATATTTTCAATTTGAAAAATTGATGTGAGGTTTTACTCAAACAAAAGTTTGAGTAAAACGTCACAAACCAACTCCACAATCCTAGGTTTAGTATAAACCTAGGATTGTGGAGTTTATTTATTGTGGTTTATTTATTTATTTATTTTTTCCTTTCATATAATCCCCAAGGAATAGCAACAAAGACGTACTGAGTATATCTTAGGTTGTTGTTCCTGATTAATGTTTAACATGTATGTATTCACCTGGTGAATAATTATCACTAATTATAATGTTGTGCTTGTACCACACTTTGAAAGCCTTTTTTAATGAAAACATTTTTCAGCCAAACTGTTTATCAACTCAAGCTCTCTGAAGATATTCTTCCACTTTTCACTGCAACCAGCATATGGAAAAAAGACTGTAAAAAATGTTAAACACGATTAAAAAAACTAGTATATCAGCTTTTTTTCTTATAGGAACACCAATGCATTTGTTTAAGATGCTAACAACAACAAATCTTTTTGAAAGTAATGGCAAAATATTAGTATTGCATTGTGGGTAAAATTTAAAAAATGATAACAATATCTTTATATACTTACAAGAACAACACAGCTTTCAAATCAAAAGGCCTATAGTTCTTTATTTGGCTTTATATTTGTATTGATTTATCTGTCCATGTACACAACTTCTTCTTGTTTTTATGTAAATATATATTTTAAATACTATAATATAATATCTCCAATGTAATTGAATGTTGCATAAATAAACTATCACCTATTATCATTAGTCTAGTGTAAAGCACAATAAGCCAAGACTAATTTTGGAATAAACATAGTGAAAACAACATATAATGAGAAAAGCTACAACATGCTGTTAAAATTTTTTTAATTATCACATAAAATGTATTTTAAAGCCTGGTTAATGTACCTGTACATTTTGATAGACTTTTCAATAATTGTTTTTTTTTTTCTTGTTTTCTTCCTAAGTAATATTAGTGATCTTTGTTGTTTTATGTTTTATTCTCATCGGATGTTTCTGTTGAGCAGCTAAACTTCTCTAAATCTATGCAGCCTTTTCAGTCCAAATCACCTTAACAGTAAAACTTCATTAAATCATCAGAGATTAATTATGTTTTCCAGTTAAACATTTCTTTAAATAAAGCAGCTGAAAAGGAAAAAAAATGTTTAGAAAACCTTTTTTTGATTTGAAGCTCTAGCTACAGCTCTCCTTTATGTCACAGGGATTGCAACCAAAGATGTCAAAACTTTTCTTTGTTTTCAACTGAGTTAACTGCACTACTACATTATGCGTTTCTATTAAAGACTTTTTTTAATATATATTTTCAATGTTGATGTTTGCTTTATTTTGAGAGACTAACAATTTATTGGTTTTATTACTTTCTAAGGCCCATATAGATGCTTTCTGGTTTAAATCAGCTTGCATGTGCACATCTGATTGGAGCTGAGACTTGGCATGTGACAGAACCATCTGTCCATGTTCTTCCAATTATCCTCTGATTACTTACATTAACACCTTATTAGCATATAATTACTTACATTCTCACTTGTCTGCACCCTTTATTTGTAACTGTGATGAAAGCGCCTTCAGCACCTGACGAAACTCCTGCAATCAATTGTGTGACATTGCACTTGTCATTTAAGTTAAAGCAATCAGCATCCATTTGTTGCTAATGACCTTCTGATAAGAAACCCGACAGGACAGCCTCTCACTCCAGTGACTCTCATCAATATTTTTTTGAACTTCATTCACAGCAGAGCGTAATTGATCCCTGTTTCTCTCTGATCACATTTGGCCTCTGAAGTCTTTTACTCACCTCTGAGTTTCTCACAGTCCCAGATCCAAAAACAAAGATTCAACCTTCACATTGATCTCTAAAACAAAGAGGGGCTGCTGTCTGTCTGCTGAGATGTAACAGAATACATAAAAAGATTCAAACCCCTCAGTGGTTTCAAATCTATTTTATTACAAAAATATTAGGAAAATGTTAGACTGAAATAACTAAATTGTTCCAAATAACGAACAAAAATATGTAATTTTATGTTTTGTTTCCCTGTTTTTATGCTTTGAAAGGTAGTTTAACATGTGGATATAGTTTACTGAACAGAAATATCTAGGTTTCCTTCAGAATTAGCTGTTTTTTGTTTTTTAAACATCAAAGGCATCAGAAAATTGGACCTTGCTGTCTCTGTTTTTGTCTTTTGATTTAGATTCTTTTTTAAGCAACCCTTGACTGCAATTTTTGTAGGATTGTTTTTGTGTTGAACAGTTCATCTCTCATTTAGCTCACTTCTTGCTCTGCATTATCAAACAGTGTTTAGGTCAATAGATTCATGATTTGAAGATAAAATGTCAGCATTTGCCCTTTTTTCTTTGCACAAAGGAAGCTTTCCACACAAAGAAAAATGTGTCAGATGTAGAAAGAGATTGTTTCTAACCTTAGAATGTTTCTAAGTTTCACATCAAAATGATTTTGGCTTTAATAAAACTACCATTTTGATTCAGCCTTATTTTTTTCTACAACCCAATTGTTTGAAATACTGACTTATCAGGATTTATCTAAATATATAACATTTAAGTTTATCATGCATAAATATTCTAAATGTCTACATTTTTTTTCTACTATCCAGAGTCTGTATTAATACATAGAAAACAGTCCTGTAAAACAGCATTTTAATAGTTTGCCAGCCATTGTCAAAGGGACAGGGAAGTATCACCTTGCCTTTATTTTACTATGATAGTATGGATTGAGCCCTGAACTGCTGTATTTACTGACTCTTTATTACTTTAAGTATATTTGTTTAATGTTCAACAATGAAATTAACTTATGTTCTAAGAATCAATATAAGAACTAAGTATTACCTGTTAACTAAGCAATTATAGCTCTTTTAAGTACAGTTTTCCCTTTAAATTTAAGCCAGACTATCGAAAAAAAACAATGAAGTCTTGTTTAATGCAGTTTAAGCTTTTTATGTCTTTAGATTGTTCAGAATCGAACTCCCTAACTGTATTGTCATATGTGTAATTTACAGACAAAGAACTGCTGTTTCGATCAAGAAATGGTAATGTTCTCAGGTTTAATGCGGAAACACAGAAAGAGGAGATCATTGTGTCAAACCAGCTGTTTGTGAGTATGACTTACTTACACAGTTGGAATATGCATGTTTTGCGAAATGGTAAATGACCTGTACTTAAAGAGGGATTTGACAAGTCCAAAGCCGCCGAAGCACTTCTCACTAAATCCATACATTCACCCATTTAGACACACATTCACACACTAACAGTGGTATGACACATTGTAGCCATAGCTGCCCTGGGGCACACTGACAGAAGCAAGGCTGTCTTACAATCGAGGCCCAACAGGCCCTCTGGACAGCAGCAGCCAAGGTGGGTGAGTTGTTTGAGGTGCAGTTGGTCAAATAAGACATTACACAGTGTGCATTGTTTTATTCAACAACTTGTTTATTTATTTTTTTTTTGTTATATATTTCATTATTTATTTTTTAACCAGCACTTAAAATTGTGATGTGATTACATTGATAAAAAATGGGTAACCCATAATATACTGTGAAAGTTCAGAGTTAAGATTTTTTAACTCTGGCACATTAAGCAAAGAACAGACAAAAATACCAGCAGAGGGTCAGTTTGGGTGTTATAATTCGTGCCCCATACTGAAAAAAGCCACTCAATGTTTTATGGTGAGCAGTATGTCAGACCTAGAGAAGGAGGATAATGAAAGAAAGAGATGAAGGATTAAGTGCTAAATTACACAAGAAGCATATTTTCCATCTGTCAAGTTTTTCTCAATGCTTGGCCATTGTTGACCTCTTCTTAAGCTCACGCTAAAGTGCTTTTTACAAGCAATCATACCCCTTTGCATTTTATGCCATTTACCCATGGAAGAACCACAAACCTCTCTATATATTATTTAGGACTTTTTCCTAATAGATTAATATAAATTAATTCCTTCAACATTAATAAATTAGTGCTGATGGAAGTGGCTTTTCATGGTTTTTAAGTTGTTTTTTTCAGGGCTTATTTTTTTTTTCAAAGACCTCAAAAACATAATGAGGACCATGAACACAGAAGACAGCTAATAGAGGAAGTCGTGGAGAAGTTAAAAGCAGAGTTAAGTTTTAAACAGTATCTCAAACCAAACAACTCGTCAAACATTGTTTAATCCATGCATAAGTCTTCAGACAGCAGCGGAGACTGAAATGATCTTCTTTCTATAGATCTACAAAGCTAGTAAAGTCATGTCGCTATAACTGCAGCAAATGGAGATTTTACAGTGTATTGACACCAACTATAGATTGTTTTCATTTCACTCTATTATTTTCCACTTCATATGGTGGATCTATTACATAAGTCGCATTGAAATACAATAATGTTTGTGGTTATAATCCGACATAGTGTGAAGTATTTCAGCGAGTATGGATCATTTAAAAAAAATCATCTCTCAGTATTGAGGTTGCCCATCCTGTCCCTGATATTCAATCTGAAGGAGGCCATCAAATATCAGGGCTCCTGATCCTCATGTTTTTAATGAGTCCCAGACAAAGCCAGCTTCAGTCAAAGATTTGGGTGTAAAATCCTGCAGAGTGTACTCATGCAGAAAAAATCCTTCTAACAGTTCTAGATAAAAAGAAGATAATCTATTTCCTGAAATCCAAAAATCTGTAATAAGTTATTTACATAACAATACATACACAAGAAAGTTTTCATTATTCCAAGAGCTCTGAAAGTAAGTTAAAAAAAAAAAACATTTACCTAAATGCAGTTGTTGTATAATGAATGATTTATTTTTTACATTTTTTCAGGACCGATCAAAAGCTGCTAGATACCAGTTGTCTCCAGACATGAAACACGTGATGTTTGCCTTTGATGTAAAACGGGTAAAACAACAGTAATAATGCATTACAATGCATTATTGCATTGCATTACAATAATCTAATTTTGAGCTTTTGCCTCATTTGAACTGATTCTTTCTGTTTCAACAGATCTATCAATACTCCTATTTGGCCAAGTACATCATTTACAGCCTCGTGACACAGTAAGAGCCTCCTGCATTATGTCTCTCTCCACCTCTTCTTCCCCTCACAGATCTCTGCCCTCAGTCTGACCTTTTCTCGTCAGTTCACTGACGTCAGCCATATTTAACTGCTCCCGTTGCTACCTTAAGGAAATGGCTTTCAGTTCAGTTTAATGTGGCGGAGCACATTGACCCTAAATCCATCTGAACAGTTTGCTTGTGTTTGGAAACATGATTTTGGGTGATTGATGAGGTATAGAAAGGGGGACAAATGAAAGTAATGTGCATTGCAGATGTGATAAGTTCACTATAAACTGCTCTCTCCATAGGGAGACTTGGCCTTTAAATCCCCCAGAGGTGCATGACGCTGTTCTACAGTATGCTGGATGGGGACCCCAAGGCCAACAGCTGGTAAGCACGCCACCCTGTTATTGTTAGACATGCTGATTGGTGGCATTCTTGTGGAGAGCCTTTATAGAATAGAATAGAATAGAATAGAATAGAATAGAATAGAATAGAATAGAATAGAATAGAATAGAATAGAATAGAATAGAAATATTCCCTATTGACCTTCATTGGGGAAGCCCAGCAGATAACAGCGGGGATGTAACACATTCTGAGTTTGTTGAGAGCAGTGATGGTTATAATGTCTAACAGCTTCTGGGATGAAGGATTTATGTGTTTTATAACAAAAGATTATGAGCTATAAAAATTGAAACTGTTTGTTTTGACCTTCACCACTGTCATTCAGTGTTAGTTTTATATAGTTCATGAGCCGGTCAGAGGAGCAGAGGCAGATGGCATCTCTGCCCAAGCAGACTGTCTAACTCAAACAGAGTATGCCAGTCTTTTAGCTTATACTGCAATGTGTTTGCAACCATTGCAAGTGTACTGCATAAGTATTCATTTTAAGGACAATGTTTTTTCTATTCCTATTTAATAATCCAGCACAGAGTATATATATTTGGAGAGGAAGGGTGGTAATCTGTGAGTTTATTAATGTTTGACAATAGAGATAAAAATTTTATTTTTATTTTTATTCACCTACAAGGTGTGAAATAATCTTTCAGTCTCAAGTTTAATTCTAGAGAATCAAACTCTTGCTCACCATCCTCTGCAAAAACATTCCATCCGTCTGTCTGTCATGTCTTTCTTTAGTTTATGACATTTTCAGCCAGATGACGGGGTATCAATGCAACTGAAATTTTTTCTTAAATTGTTAGTCCTAATCTAGTGGATTGCTTATATTCTGCTCTTAAGAACACCTTCTTAAGAGGAGAAATGTGCCCCATGAAGACATCTGCGAGGACTCCGATGTTGACGGAGATTTCAGATCTCAAAACACGTCTCTCGAGACCATAGTACAAAATGTATTCATAGCTTATCATTTATTATTTTATCCTTTTACACCACAAACTGCATCTCTGGAGTTAAAACTACTGTGACTTAGGTATTTGTGTCATTTAAAGGCAATTAAGCGAATCTATTGGGGATAAAAACCACAAGAAAAAGAATCAAATGATCTTTTTTATTTTTATAACAAGGCCTCTGTGACTCACTTTTAGTCTATTAATATATTCATTACATTAGCTCAGCTCTACATCAGCCTTGAAATAACATGCATTTGAAAAAGAGCTTGATATTTTATATTACATAAGATGCATTTAGTCCAAACACAACAAGAGAAAATGGAGCAAGAGAAAAAAAAACTTTTTTCCCCTTGAATAAAATTTAAAAGGTGCAATAAATTCAAGCACCAACAATGTTTTATTTTATCATTCTTATTCCTTGGATTCCTTTTTCTACTCTTGTCTTAATTAGTTTTTCTTTATCTTTTTAGTTTATTACTCCTGTGTTTCCTCAGCCCTAATTTAAACCTTTCTGTTCTGTCATAATTGCTCTTATTGGATAACTGCTAAGATTACCGATGCATTTCTTTGAAAAAACATTACCATTTTGAGTTGGATGAGACTCTGTCTGCTGGGGAAGACGGTAGGTTCATTTACATACGGTAATGGTACACCTGATTGTTTTTTTCACAGAGCCTTAGCTGTATTGTAGCTCTGCTCTTGATTTAATGAGCCTCAGAGGATGTGCTGAAAAACAAAGATGAGCTCTCATTTTTCCTATCCGTCTGACCTGGACATGTTTTCTTTCCCCCCATCACAGTTTGTGAATGTAATGATTTCCCATTAAGTTTATCAGAACTGGAACAATTCATCATCCGCATATAAAACCAAGGTGTGTGCAGCGTGCAGTGAGGCATCATACGTACAGTGAGATGGATCCTGCAGTGCCCTCTTTAAATGACTAGCTATTACTCTACCGTGACACTGCAATCAGCAAGGCTGGGTCAACACCTGAAAAAAGAGGTCATCCTGACAAAGCAATGTGGATTTTACAAAAAACAAGAAATCAAAAGGAGTTTCATGAGGACTGGACATTTCACCCTGTTAATCCAAGATGTACAAACATCAGTCAGAAGCTCTACATGTATTTCTGATCTGTAGCTTCTTTAATTTCTCTGCCCCTAAACTTGTTTAACGCCTTCCTTTAAATTCTTAAAAGTACAAACAGAAGTGGGAGTGAAAAACAAGAGAGAAAAACACCTGTTGAGATAGGTGTAATTTGGGATTTTTGGGGTTGTCAGTCCAAGGATTTAATTCCCTTACGATCATTTGGAGTGTAAGTTGATATTCTGAGCTTTGAGTCTGCTGTATGTAATGAGTCATGTACTGAAGTTGTTTTGCAACACTAGCAACCCACCAGTCTCTCTATTTTTACCAACTCCTATATTGATTAGAATTGCACCAATCAGGTTTTTGCAGATGATATCCAAATCTGTTTTGGGGGTATATATATATCTTTGACCTAGTGAAACAAATTTGTCAGTTTGCTGTATATAACAAAAGACAGAAGCAGTCGTAATAAAAGAAGCAATTATACAAACAGGTAACTGCCAACCAGCTCCACCGGCGGCCCTATCCAGGAAACACACAGCCGGGCAGACGAGCTCCAAGCCAGCTCCCATGTCAGAGGATGAAAGAGAGCATATATAGTTAGTCACAGTCAGAGAAACAGGACTACACTGAAAAACAGACCAAGCTCTAACATCAATAAATAAATCTGTAATATTAGAGGATATACTTTTTCTTAGCTTTTTTGTTTTGAAATAGAGAGTGGACTTCATATGTGGGAGTGCAGACATGGTAATATAATATTATTACAATAGAGTTGACATATAAGCATTTGATTAGCATCCATAATGTCCCTTAAAGACAATTACCATCTCTCAAAGTCATAATAATTTTATTATTATTATGGTTATTATTATTATTATTATTATTATTAGTAGTAGTAGTAGTAGTAGTAGTAGTAGTAGTAGTAGTAGTAGTAGTGTAGAAATAATAATAATCCAAATATTTGCTGATCCTAATTACAGTTACGCTTCAATGTTCTTCACTCCAGAGCAGCATAGACACTGCACTGTATTGTTGTTACTGCATCCTATTTTTTATCATCAGGCAGACATCCTTCCATATAATTATGCTTTTGTATTTTTTTATATTTCTCTTGTTTGTTAGATTTAACTGGGCATATTCAGTTCATAACCAATCCCTTCCTAATTTGTACATCATACACAAATCGATCACACTCTTATCTTTACTGAAATGGCAATGTTAAAAAAAAATACTCAAAAAGATTGACTGAGGAATAATGTACTCATCTTGCAACAGTGTGCCTTAAATTTACCCAAACCATCTGAAAGTTTGTTTTATTATAAAAGACAAAGCAATGACATCTGTATAAAGACAAATGAGTCTTGATTAACAATTCAGGTCTTTGCTACATCTTTCACTTTTGGTAAATTTCTGTTGAGCAGGACATTCAGCAGGGGAGGAGACAACGCTTCTGTTTGGATTAAGATTTACTCTATATAGTGATGTAAAGCCAGTCTGGTCCTTGCACAAAGTTTCAATTTAAGGACAGAAACTGCTAGGGGCATGAAAAATGCAATGAAATTAGGGTTAGATGTTTTTTTCAGGCACAGTGGTCTGCAGCATGAGGCTGTTAAGGCCTTCACAGTTCTTGCTCTCTGATCAAAGTGACAGGATCTCTAATACTGGCTGCATTTAAATAGAAATAGAAAAGGCTAGTTTTCCCCATCTAACTTGATGTATTTATGCAGTTGGTGCATATTAGGTGGCCTTTAAAAGCCGTCAAGGTTATGATAGACAACATCACTGGAAATTGAAACTAATGTTATTGGACTGCATTTTTACCAGTTACACCTACTTGAAAATTGTGTTCTAATTCTGCCAGACCAATAGTTCTTTAACCTGCTTTCTAATTTTGTTATCCAACATTGACTGTGACTGCAGCACAGTCTGTCATCAAAATTCAAAAGAATTTTTTCATCATTTGATTGAATTGCTGCAGGGAACCAGACATTTCAGGTTTGCACACCTACAGAAATTACAAGGTTTTCAAGCATCAAATTCAATTCATCAATTGCAACAGTAAGTGGTTGTTACATAACAATGACAGGAAATAAAAAAAGGTTTCTGTGAATGGATTAAATTGTTGCAAGAAAAAGTAGCTTGGTAAATCTCATTATAAGGACATACTTTAATTGCTGGGTTTCTCATTACTCTTTTTTCAACATCTAGGAGTCCTACAGTTTTTTTTGTGTATATTATAACAAAAGGCTTTTTATTAGAGAAAGAAGAATTTGTGGCTCTGAAATTTTTTGAAGAGGGTAAGAGGGCAGAAGTGCCTCTTAAATGTTTCAATGCTGTTGATAACAAAACCACTTTTATTAGCTTACAGAAAAAAACTGTCAATGTTTTGTTTCTCTTTTATCCAGATCTTCATTTTTGAAAACAACATCTACTACAGGTCGACGGTGGATAGTCGATCGATCCGCCTTGTCTCGACTGGTAAAGAGGGGGTCATCTTTAATGGGCTCGCTGACTGGCTGTATGAAGGTAAGGCATCAGTGTGACAGATTTAGGCAAATATACAATCTGTAAATTTGGCATCTTTGACCAAATTTTCCAAATATTTGAATTACTAACTAAACTATGGTAACTAGATTTCTGACATTAAATCCAGGGACAACTTGGAGATAAAAAAAACAAAACAAAACATAAATTAACAGTAAAAATAAACTACAAAATTTGAACCTATTTAGGTTTAGCAGATTTTCATTTTCCTTAAGGAAATGACTTCAAGAAAGTAGTGTGTAAAATTGCTCTCATCTACAGTCAAAACACTAATAAAACATTTTTTTATATAAAAGTGTTAATTAGTATTATTAAGGAAACATATACTGTGTGTTGCAACAGTGCTGATCTGATTTGATTGCAAAAAAGCTACATTCTGAAGTTAAAGTCATGGTTTTATAATATATAGAAATATTATAGATGTTATATAATATAACATGTAAAATAATAATTTTTGCCCATTTTGTAAGATGTGATGTGAAGTGAAGGAGATAGTATTTGAAGGAAATCTGATTTACAAATAGAAATCTGAAAAATGTGCTGATCATCTTTCTTCCTCTGCTTCAAGTGCAAAAGAATAAATCCTTGTACACTCATATATACTTTGAGACTATACAAATACAGATCTATTTATCGAGAAATCAAAAGGAACAAGCAAGTTCTATTGTAATTATAGCAGTATTTAAAATTTGAAATAAGCATTTTGTTAGATATAAGCATGATTGCATGATTGATGAATATAAAAACAGCTTAGCAACAGGAATTTTAAAATAATTGGCCAGGTTTCTCTTGTAAAAGAGTTTCTGCATCTCAATGGGACTTCCTGGTTAAATTATGATACAAATACAAAATAAAAAACTTGCAATTTCGATTGTCAAAGTTATGTGAATGCAAATTAATGCAAATCTTAATTGTAGCCAAATTTTAATAACACCCATTTTGGATGTTATATGGGCTTTAGTTTGAAGATTATTTTTTCTTTTGCTGCAGTTGTTTCTTGAAACAGCTCCCCTCGTTCCCACCTTCTGCTAAGAAAGAGAAACAAAAATAGTGTTTGGATTTAATAACAATTGAACTTTATTGATCTCACATTGGAGAATTTTACCTCAGCATTTAACCCATCCCCTTGAGGAGCGGTGGGCTGCCATTGTGGGGCTCCAGGGGAACAATCGGGGGTTAAGGATCTTGCTCAGAGACCCAGAGTGGCAGTGGGTTTTGAACTCACAACCTCAGGATTCCACGCTCTATGCCCTAACCACTAGACCTCCGCTCTCTTTTTTTTTAAAACCCTTGCAGAGAAAAAAATAAAATAAAAACGCACAATTTCACATCCTTCACCAGTGCACTACATAACAAGCAGACATAGAGAAGTGATTTATTCATTACATGGAGTCCATGGATAAAGCTTGACCTCTGCAAATAGGACTGTATTGTATCAGTATTTATAGGAGAAGCCCAAGTTCGGTATTAAATCATTCATTTATTCATTCTACTTTATGTATTTTCTCATTTTAAGCCATCTTAAAATCTGTCCACTATCTTAATTAATAATTCAACTCTGCTGTTTCTCACTCCTCTGAAACACCTACAGGAAGTGCTTTGTGTCAAAGCAACGGGTTTCTTTTGACACAATTTTTTATCCACAATTTCTCCATAAGCTGTAAACTGTATATAGGTCAGGGGGACAAGGGGCCGTGCCCCAATGCACTGATGGGTAAAACTTCATAGTGATAGTACTGCCTTTCTAAATTATTTGGTCTTCATAAAAAAACAGAGAAAAAGTCTGGTTGCCTCCCATTTAAGACTGTTTTGTGGTAGGTGATGGTACTGTGTACCTTTACATCAATCCCACTTAAACTTAAAATTACAAATGTAAGTATTTTAAACTGTTTCCATCCATATCCTTCTTGCAGCGTTGTCAGCAACCATCTTCGTCTTCCAGTACTGGATGCTTGAGATCACTGGAACTGTTTCAATGGAAGCAGAAACAATTTGTCTATAACCCTTATCCTTGTTGACATATGCTGTATTTATCCAACAACATTTGAAACAAATTTTTAATTGAGTTTTGGATATGCGCCTATACCCCCAGCAGCAGCAGCCTCTCCCTGAGGTGTGCTGTATCTTTCAGCGCATGTTTTGATCTGGAGCCGCACAGCTGGCTACATTTCAGTGCACCTCCTTTCCTTCACCTCCCATCACTTGTCTTTGTGTTCAAGCACTTTTAATTAATTCACATGCAGAGTGCTGCAATCTCATGCAGCAGATGTTCAAAAGCCAGGAAAGTTTTAATTTAATGTGAGACATTTTCTGATTATGGCATATGTGGGACAGACGTTCTAATTACAAACCCCTTTGATGGGATTTTCCTTACAAATGTACTGAGAATAGTAATCCCGCTTTATTCATTTCCAATAAACCTCATAAAGCTTTTGTTAAGATTCTCGATTATTAGCTTGTAGATGAGGTTGAAACAGTTTGGGATAATAACTGTAAAGATAATGTAGTTCTGGTTATTTGAGGGAAACTTCAGGGAGTTGATTTCCCTTTCATTGGATTATGTCTTTGTTTCAAACAAAAAAATATGGCAGATGTAATCTATTTTCTGAGCTAAAGAAGCATTTAGCTTCTCATATATTTTTTTCTGCTGGTTTATATGAGGATTTTTCAATGGAAAACAGCTAAATTACTTGTATTTTGCACAAATTTCATTTTTATTTAGGTCAGCCAAGTTTTAGCAAAAGCTGTTAAGATCAGGCCACTTTGGGTGCAGTCATGGAAAGCTTACCAAGTTTATTTATCATTTTCTTTATGTTTATAAAACAAGCTAGATTCTTATTCGCTTTGCTTTTTATGTATTTGGAGTGCTTTGTTAAGCACTTTGTCCTGCCTTAATAATTTTATATACTCTATGGATAGATAATTTGACTTTTTTATTGCAGACTTTATTACTTATGTATTTATTCAGGTTTTTGTGTTCATAGTAAGGACACAAATGCTTAAAATGGAATTAAATAACCAGAAGGATCATGTTAAAATGGGGAGATGTTTACAGCTAATGTTCAGTAAACTCACTTCTTACCCCTGCTGGTAATTCTTTCATGTACTGTAGAGAGGTTTAGATAAGTTTAAGATGGTGTATAAACATTACATTATATTGTTTACTCTCCATTTTGACATAACTCTTTAATAATTTGGTGTGTAAAATACACCATATTTTATTTATAAACCAAGAACTGTGCTTTAAACATAATTAAACATAGTAGAGTTTCAGCAGCTCTCTGTGCGGCTCTTTCTTCCAGATTCCACTGTCTAGATATATTTAAGCTCAGAGTACAAAGCAGGGTATAAAAACATGCAGAGGCCTGCAGCAGCCAAAGCCATCTCTCTTTCTCTGAACATCACTGTCAGTAAATGGTTTCAGACAGTAAATTAAAAAAAAATCCAGACTTTGCATCTCTCACAGGTTACCAAAGTGGAGGTTAATCAGGTATGTATGTGCAGATTTTTTAAAAGCCTTGCTTTTTATATTCCTTCTTTTAATCCAAACTTGCAGGAGTACTTTTTTGTGAATTGTGTACATCCACCATATACGTTGGTTGTAACTCATTTAGAAGTTACACAACATCATGCTGAAATGAAATGTAATACTGAGAAAGAGCTATTGATGTTTGCTCTTTAATGTTTGACGCCTTTGTCATGTCAGCTTATTTATTTTTCCTAAACTCTTGCCTTTAATTAAATAATTTAAATGTACTGTTATAGCAACCATTCATGTCTTTGATGTGATTAGTTTTCATAATTATTCCTCAAGGTGTCAAACCTAAAATAATATAAACATGACCTCCACTTTTGTTTGAAAAACAAAAACTCTAAATTCATAGGATTGAAGCTGGCAAGTTTCATCACGTCTCTGAGGTTGAAGAGATGCTGCCGTCATCAGGATATGGTGCATCTGTTTATCCTCTGACTGCCTTTAAATATCTAAATGGCTGCTCTTTTAAAAAGTAAATTTTAAAAAGCATTTTTTTCTCTGTAGTCTGCAGCTTTCATATGAAGCAGGACATGTAACACCTCAGATGTACATCATCATTAACTGAGCATGTGTGTTACAGCATGCCAGGCTTTTTCAAAGACCTCCAAAGCATAATGAATTGCATCAATCCCATTATTCATGCACTATGTTGCGCTCAGATTTTTTTTCTAAGAGTTTATTTGGACCACCAGCCTTGAAATTCCTCCTGCACTAAAACATGGTCCACTCAACCTTACAGTTAGACCCAATCGAGCATATTCAGTGCTCAATGTTTTCCTGAGTCCTCCATCACTCTGCATATGCAGCAGTGTCAGAAATTATTAGTCTAATGATAAACATGACCACATTCTGCTCACCAAGGTTGAGCCAATCAGCTGTACAGTGATAAAGTTGCTATTTGGTCCTCCATGTAACTACAGTTGTGTGTTCTGGATTTTAATTCCTTTATTATAGTAGATCTCTTCTGCCCCCTGTTGGACGAGATACCACAATTCGGAGAATTCTATAGAAAAATGCATTTTGGAAAGAAAAACATTCTTGCAATTAATTTACATTACTTAGGGTTTATGTGTAAACTGAACAGGCCTAGTTGTGGAATGATTACATATTTTTATGTTAAAATGTGGATGTCAGATCTAGCTTTAGACATGCAAGAGTTTATTTCAAAATAATTCCCCAAAAAATGTCTATTCAGCTGTCTTGCTTAAAGAGTTAGATAATGATAAAAAAAATGTTAATACCTAATTGATTTTCTGATAACTTTGATTATATTCATTCTGGAGCTTTAGCTTCACACATGGAAAGCACTTTGGATGTATAAGATTTTGTTAACAAGATATTAACGAATGGCAAACATCTGAACTCCTACTTAGATCTATGTCTTATTTAACTTTTACTGGACCTTCACAAGATCCTACAAAAATAAATTTTTGACACTCTCTGTTCTTGTTTTAACAGAGGAGATCCTGCAGACCCACATTGCCCACTGGTGGTCTCCAGACGGACTGCGTTTGGCCTACATGACCATCAATGATACGCTGGTGCCAGAAATGGAGGTTCCATATTTCACCGGTACACCATATCCTGGAAGCCAGGTCTATCATTACCCAAAGGTCAGACTGGAGCACAAGCCACCTTAACTGTTGTACAGTTCAGGAAGCTGAGGATGGAATTAATTGATTTAGTTTGACTAAACGCATGAAGTGAACGGGAGCAACATGTTGCTTTAGTGAGAATCACCCCAGAGACCAGAATCTCCTGCATGAGTTTCATCAACAGCACAAAAGCACAGCTTTTCTTTTGAGCACACTTTTGCCAGTGCAGTACGCGTTTACTCTGCAATGAAAGTTGTAATTTTGAATACCTTTTGTTTAGGAAGTGAAAGTGCTATGCTGTCATCCTCTGCTTCCAATCAGTTACGGCTGTTAATCTAATTCTCTTCGGGGGGGCAGAACAAATAAATGAAGAACAACAACAGGGAAACAGAACATAGTTTGATTCATTTAGTGTGCCACAGAAACAAAGAGCCTCTTGCAGCTCTCGAGCTCCCATTTATCATATGGTAACTCTGGTCCTGGTTCAATACGGCTGAAATAAAAGTGTAGCACCTTCATTTTTAAATCTGCGTTTTTTTTTGTTGCTCTTTTTTATTTTATGAACAGGTGAGAAACAAAAAGATTATTACTTCCAAAGTGACCCTAATATGCCATCATACTGTGGCCACAGCTGCCCTTAGGCAGCCTTTACAGAAACGAGGCTGCCATATATCAGCGCCACCAGGCCCTCTGACCAGAGACAACATTAAGATGTTATACACAGGGTTAACCATTACGAGGAAAGTAGAAAAAGCATTTAATCAGATCTATAAATGCCCATCACAGCACAGGAATGTTTTAGACGTTTTCTCCTTAGAAGTTGGACCGAATTCCTTACCTTAGCAGAGAGGCTGAATCTGGCATTGAACATAAGAACCAAACACCTAAATAAGCATATTGAATACATCAACAGCATATCTACATAAAAAGACTAATAGTTATGATAGCAAACTATTATACCCATAATTTCATTTTCAGACTTTCATTTAGCTTTTTTGACTTATGACAAGCCAATCTGTGTGCATGTCAGGCTTACTGCCCGTGTCCTCACTAAGACTAAGAAAGTAGAGCACAGCACCCCAGTTCTAAAGTCCTTACACTGGCTCCCTGTATCTCAGAGAATAGACTTTAAAATTCTTCTGTTAGTCTATAAATCTCTGAATGGCTTAGCACCTAAATACATCACAGACTTGCTATCAGTGTATCAACCCTCCAACCACTCAGGTCTTCTGGCTCCAGCCTGCTCTGCATACCTAGAACCAGAACTTAACATGGAGAAGCAGCATTTAGTTCCTATGCTCCACTTATCTGAAAAAAACTTCCAGAAAACTGTAAAAGTGCGGAAAGCCTGAGTTCCTTTAAATCAAGACTAAAAACACATTTGTTTAGGATTGCCTTCGACTGTTCTAGTTAAACATTTCAACTGAAACATCATTAGTTCAACTTTTTTATTTTCTTTAGTCCAACTGTTTTCAATGTTGTTTTTTGTTTCTGCATTTTTCTTTCCTACTTGCTTTGATTCTGTTTTATTTTCCTATATTTTGATCATGTAAAGCGCTTTGCATTGTCTTTGTACTGAATTGTACAAATAAATTTGCCTTGCCTTGCCTACTCTAAAATCTTTAGCTATATTAAATATTTCTTGGAAACTGCCACAGTTACAATACCCTGAAAAAAAAGAATGCAACTGTTTTTGGCATTTACTTAATCATATTTAGTTACTTTAACACATTTTTTTTTTCATTTTAGCAGGGTAGGACATAAAACGATTGTGTTAAAGTAACTAAATATGCTTAAGTAAATGCCCAAAGCGGTTGCATTATGTTTTCAAAATATCTCAGTGTATAATCTTACCGTGACAAAATATTGCTGTGGGTTTTTGTGTGCATAATTTTACGACGATTCCCCTTATAAATTAATTCAGAATATCAAGCTTTTGTTTGAGCTCGTCTCAGATTGTAAAGCAAATCTCATCTTTGGGATTTTGTTTCCTTTGCAGGCCGGAGAGGAGAACCCTGTGGTCCACCTGTCTGTGGTGGGCCTCCACGGTCTCCTGCACACAGTGGTGATGAGGAAACCTGATGATCCTCGGATAGGGTGAGTGACAGAAGAGCAGCACATTTATGTTTAGGAGGCGGCAAGTGCCAAAACTAGCCCTGAAGTAGTTTGTTAGGTCAGACAGCAGCTATCCAATGTGTGATGTATTCTTTTCCTTTTTTTTCCCCAGGAGGGAATATTATATCACTATGGTGAAATGGGCTACCAATACAAAACTGGCTGTTAACTGGCTAAACAGAGCCCAGAACAACTCGATCCTCACACTGTGTGAAGTCACCACTGGAGTCTGCATTAAGGTGACACAATCTCTGACCGATGTCTTTGTCAAAGCATTTTGGTGCTTGTATTCACAATTTCTCTTCCTCTCTGTGAATTCTTCTCTTTTGCTTCTGTAGTTTATTTTGAGTGAAAAGTTTCCACCCCATTCTGCCATTTGACCTGCAAAACCAAAGCTGGAATTAGGTCCACAGAAAGTTGACTATTGTTTTTATTGTTTGTACCTTTTTACCATTTGGGCTTGAAAATGAGTGAAATATGTTCCTATCTCTCAAACAATAACCTCTAAAAACACTCCAAAATTAGATCGTTATTATGTGTAATTTTCAGGTTGTCGTAACTTGAAAGTACACTATTTATGGTAGAAAGTATATTTATGTTTAAATGACAAATGAGAGCGTCTGAAATACCAATGAAAAGAGAAAGCTATGTTTTGCGAAACCTAAAAATCAAGTTTAGTTGCAAATGTTGTTAAGGTTATGTATCAAATGTTAAAATGTGATTTATTTTCTACTGTATTTACATATTTATTTTCATTATCGATTTTAGGTTATAGACTCTTTATAAACCAGATTCCAGATTTAGAAGTTGCTGCAGTTTCTTCGCTAATGCCTTAGACAGATCCTCCATTGTTCAACATGCCAGTCATATTACTTGAATTTCTTAAGTTAAATAAACAGTCATGTGTTTGAAAACATTTATAAACATATTAAAGGAGATGAATATATGTTATTACTCTAAGACATTTTAGTGGTAGTATTCACCTTGTATGCATATTTTGGGTCTGTTAGAGCAGTGATCACCAACCTGGCGTACTCTTACCCATCGTGGTCTGCAAGTGCATTGCAAGGGGACATGAAACTACTTAACTTCTTAGGCAGTAGAATAAGATAGGGCTGGGATCTGTTTTGCTTTGTGACGACCCAATTGAAAAAAAAAAAAAAAGCTTTTATCAACCAAAAATTATTTTTTTCTTATATGTTTGAGTTCCCCTTTAGCTGTGACACCCATAAAAACCAAGCCGAGGAACAGACTGGATGTAAAGAACAGCCTGGTATCCGCCCTTTTTCACACTGAGCTATTGGTGCTCATCAAAGCAGCTCAGGTGTCTTGATGAAAACAAACTAATTAAGTCAGTCTGACTATAGTTTTTGTTGTGTACTTTGTTCCCAATTCATCAAATTAAAATATGATTATAAGGGAGTTACTCAGAGGAGGTCCAGTTTTAAAAATACAGGTTTATAATATCATTTTATTTTGTATTGATTTTGAATAGTCACTAACTTCCAGGCAACATATTTATGTTGGTTTTTTTATTTGCAATGGAAAGCATAAAATGCCTAAGAATTAAATACGCAAATTAAAGATTGAGTAAAATAGCTTTAATTTTATAATCATCTGTTGTATGTTCCACTTTTGGACAATCACCAGTCATTTTGACTGAGAGGGTATTCATGGTAAGACAAAACGCCCAAAGGTGTACACAAGTACACATCAAATCTCTGTGCTACTCTGTTGTATTTTTTTTATTTTTATTTTGTTTTTCATTGTGTGTGATACATGTACACTTGCACCTTAATCCTTATTATTGTTTGCACCTTCTTCTTTAATTACTATGCCAATATGTGACGAGTGAATTTCTCCGCTGTGAGATCAATAAAGCTCATCTAATCTAATCTAAGTCAAAAAACAGTTGGGAAACACTGTGTTAGAGGATCCTTGAGTATTGAGAAAACCATTGCATGTAGTGGGACATAATCCAGACTAGAAATACAGTAGAACCACACTGTTCTTCGATGTGACTGTATTTTTCTCTTGATATTTACAGAGTGGTCTAATTTTAATTAACATCTTTAGACAGCCTTTTTTTCTTTGTTGTAAACAGGGTTGTATTTGTTTCTTTGTTTGCTGATATTCTCATGTTTCTTTCCAGAAACATGAAGATGAGAGTGAAAGCTGGCTTCATCGGCAGGTACTGTAGGCAAAGATTAAAATCCTGTCCTGTTAAGTGTAAAAGTGTTAGAAAAGGCTTACTCTGTTAAAACTGAACAATTACATAATGAGCTTAAATCTAGAGCAGCTTTATAGTAGAAAAAATATTTTCCTTGACTTGTGTTTGTCCATGCAGAATGAACCTCCACTGTTTTCTAAAGATGGACACAAGTTTTTCTTTACTAGGGCGATCCCTCAGGGGGGTAGAGGGAAGTTTTTCCACATCTCTATGTCCACCACACTGGTTAGTATGGGCATAGCTTACTACCATAAAAATGTCTGATGTTAGAGAAGAATTAATTTTTTAACGGCTTTTTGTCATTTAGCCCAACACCAGCACAGACATCCTTCAGTCTCTGACATCTGGAGACTGGGACGTCACCAGCATCTTGGCGTACAGTCATGAGAAGAACCTTATGTAAGTTATACTCCTCCACACAGTACACCTGGCAGTGCTTTAAATCAGTTACTTGGACATCTGGATGATTTACAGATACTTTCTGAGCACAGAAGACGACCCAAAGAGACGGCATTTGTACAGGTAGGATTCTTAAAAAGTCGTCTGGATGATTTTTAGTTGGGTTTTTTTGACGTTATTAACACTGCGTTGTCCAACAGCGCTGACACAATCGCTCCGTTCAACCGCTGCTGCCTCTCCTGTGACTTCAAGTGTGGTTTTGTGGACGTTTCATTCAGCCACAACATGGAATACTTCTTGCTCAGCTGCAAAGGTGGGAAACATCTACATTAAACTTCCACCCTGCAAGATTTGTGTTAAAAATCAGTGTTATCCTGAGTTTAGTGGAAAATTTCATAATTCATATTTTATGTCAGACTAAGGATTAACATAAACTGAAATGTTAAAATTGACCAGGTTTTTAAATAGTTATTTAAGTGATTTCAGCTCTGTTAACCAATTGTCTTACCTCTACTTGTTATTCAGGTCCAGATATACCAAGTGTGGCAGTTTATAAAACAGGAGACAAACAAAGTGAGTTTTGGAGTTTCACACAGAAAATAACTTGACTTATTTTCCTGCAGCCAACATTAAAGGTTTTTTTTTTTTTTTTTTTACATTGGCTTCTTGATTTTACGTTATTCTACTCACACATATTAGTTTTGTGTCATTTGGAGCTGTTACGAAGATTTTCCGTTAGGTTATATCCAAGTAACGTCTTCCTATGGGCAACGAGTTGAAGGCACAAACTAAACTGTTCATAATTTATTATTTATGGTACGTCAGCATTCATAACATGTAGCCGAATCACTGTCCCCCAGACGTCCGCGGTTATATTTTTTATGTTTATATATATATATTTTTAAAGTGGAGTGTGTATGATGTCATTAGTTTTTTGACTGTGGGAGGAAGCCGGAGTATCCGGAGAGAACCCACGCTTGCTCAGGGAGAACATGCAAACTCCATACAGAAAGAACCCAAGCCAGGAATCGAACCTTAAACATTCTTGCTGCAAGGCAGCAGTGCTACACACTGTTCCACTATGCAGCCAGATTAAATCCTAATTCAACAATAATCTGGGAGATTTTCTTGCTACACTCGACAAACATATAAACGCAAAATTTTTGGTTTTTCTCTGACTTTCTATGAGATGAACTCAACAATCTAAAATTTTTTCCACATACATAATATCCCCTGTTCCTGCCAATATCCAGCTACTTTGCACAGCCATTGAAGAGGAATGCATCAACATTCCACAGGCCATATTTGACAACCCGTTCAACTCTAAAACTTTTTTAACTCATAGTGGTCACACCAGATACTGACTGGTTTTCTGATATTTTTGTTGAGTGAAAATAGTTGAGTTCTGGAAGCAGTTGGTTGCGTTAGACATATGTATCAAAGAAAAGGAGGCTATAAAACAAATGCACAACATTGTTTTGGGGATTTATATTTGTTAAAAAGGTTTTTCCTCCCACTTTACTATTACTGTATGGGAAGCCTGATAAACGAGACTAGATGTGAGATTAAATGTGTAATTTAAACTCGCAGGCAGAAATTGATTTGACCACTGGCAGGTGGGGCTAGTTTACTAGGCTACTATTATTCACTACTTTTTATTCGTCACATTATATATTATGGTTACAATTTTAACTGATCTCACTTAAAATACACTCTAGGGTCTCTGCCAGCCAGGCTGGCTTCTTAGAAAACATCCATTTGAGGCAAAGTTCATGCAGCAGTCATCGGCTCCAGTAGAACTCATACAAGAACCGCACACATGCTGGCTGCGTTTCACTGAGAGCTTCTAATTGATCCTTTTCCTGTTCTGCAGAAGTGTTCGATGTGGAGACAAATAAGAGAGTAAACTACACATATAACAACATGCAGATGCCCAAAGTGGAGAACAAAACCATCACCATAGAGGATTACAGTATGTAACTACGTTCCTAATCATCTGTCTCCAGTCAGTTATTGGGATATCTGTTGATCATGTTCTTTATTTCTGCAGCTCTGACCATGCAGATTCTGAAGCCAGCAGGATTTGTAGAAACAGACAAATACCCACTGTTGCTGATAGTGTGAGTCTGACTGTTGTTATTTTCTTTGTACCTGAAGCCCTTAGAGTTACACATCACTGTTCAGTCAAACACAATTTTAACTCATGTTTAGGCAACATTTGTGGAACACATTTGTATATAATAGCAATGTTCATTGTTTGCTTTCTCTCACCTTCAATGCATGTAGAAGGTCTTTATAAAAGAGACTAAACTGTGTAAAACTTCTTCTTGTCCATGGTTATTCTCTTTCATTTTAATTAAGCAACTTTCTCTTGCAACACCTCTAATACTGAGATGTGCCTGTTTAACTGAAAGAAAGGCGTTGAACTCCACATGTGAAGAAAATGGTCTTAGTATCATCCTATAGAGATGAAAGCTATAGAAAACTGTGCAGCTGGGTGAATCATGATAATAAAAATCATGATTTTGTAAACAGGAAATCATGTAAATGTAGATTGCCAAAATGAAATAGACAAAAAAATTGTTAAAACATTATGATATACTGCTCAATGATATCTCAGTTCCCACTTTGAGATAACTTTGTTTTTATTATAATTATATGTAGAGGTAACAACACAAAGGCAGATATAACATCCTGAATTTAATCACATAGCAAGTTTAACGAAGTAAGGGAAAGCACCTAAATATCATGGAATGTGGAAAAAACAAAACAAATGCAGGCTGTCTTGTTCAGGAGTCACAGAAAAAATTAAAAATGGATTAATTAGAGTATCTAAAATTAAGTTCTGTTCTAACATATCGCTCAAATAGCGGCTATTTAGTGTAAATCTAGACAAATTGATCTCAGAGGCTCGGGTTTCTGGCTAGTCCAAGATTCCCAAGACCACAGCGAATTTCTAATGTCCCTCCATCTCAAACAGTTCACGACTTTTCATACAAACTCAGTTTTTGAACCTGTCAGCCATGGTGACCTTTAGAATCTAGGTTTCAACAAAAGGCAATAACTGGTAACAGATTTGGAGGGATTCACTTTTTAACTTCTGATCTTAAACATTTCTCGTTAAAATCTCGGATAAAATAACGCTTTTATTTCAGGCTGTTACTCTAACTGGAAACTCCTTATGACTTCATTTCCTGTGTGAAAAATATTTTTCTTATAAACACCCTCCCAATTCAGACAGCTGACGGTACATTTCGGTCTTTACCCCTCTCAGACTTTTCTACAGCTTCACCTTCCTCCACAATTTTGTCTGGATTTATAGCATTAGGCCTGTCATTAAAAAAAATAATAATAATAAATCAATTATAGCATGATGAAAATGAATCACATGAGACTTTTAAATTAGCCCAGCAATTTACATGAGTTTGTTTATTGGTTTAAATTGTGTCTCCCTACCTTTTAACTAAAGAATCTGGATAACAAAAGGTTTCACTCTGGTGCATCTGTTTCCATTCCTTCCTTGCTAGTTAAGAATTGGAAGACTAATACAACAGCTATGGTGTGGAAACACTTTGGATTAAAAATGAAAAACAGAAATATTGTTTATCACAATATATTTTGGGAAAATGAATCGCAATTTGTTATAGTAACAGGCCACACCATGATAATCTGCTGCAAGTCACAGAAATTAAACTAGAACCAACACACATCCTTTGCTGATGGGATGTAATCTGATTTTTTGAGGGGACAAAATCCAGTTAAAATCCTAATCTTAAGGGTTGCATTACCTGTTTTCTCATGTTATGCCAGCATACACAGATGCCAGATAACTCATCCTAAAACACACCCGACCAACAAGGCTGAATAAAAGTTAAAGAGACCTAAACATGGATGCTCTGTAATTATAAGTCATGCACAATCCAGCTGGTATATTAGTTTGAAGGGATTTAAACTCTTCCTGTGCAGAGACGGCACACCTGGTGGGCAGATGGTGACGGAGCAGTTCTGGGTGGACTGGGCCTATGTTCTCGTCAGCAGTTACAGCACAATCGTTATCCGCTTTGACGGCCACGGTAGCGGCTTCCAGGGAACCAACCTGCTCCATAAGGTCCACAGGAAGCTGGGGAAGTTGGAGGAGAGGGACCAGCTGCAGGCACTCAGGTAAAACCTTTACTCTGGCTGTGAGGCCGACTGAAACTGAAGGAAAGATAGATTTCTTACTCTATTCATTTTTCTTCTTTTATTTTAGGTTCATATCAAAAGAAGGGTACATTGATAAGGATCGAATGGGAGTTTATGGGAAGGTAAGAGTGGAATATTATTAATGTTAAAAATAATCATTAACCCAGTTTGCTTCTGCCTTCACTGAACTAAAGCTGAGAGGATTTATGTTTCTCTCACTGCTTGCAGGCCTACGGGGGATACTTAGCCACAATGCTATTGAGCTCTGAAGAGTTTACTCAGCTGAAATGTGGAGCAGCCGTCTCGCCTATAACAGATTTTGAGCTTTATGGTATAATTTCCAGCTGTTTTTAATTAACTTTTTCTCTAGTGTGTCAACAGTTAACATCCTCGTGCAAAACCTTTGATACTTTGTTACCAGTTAACATTCTGTGTAGCACAACTCAATTTACAGAGTAATTATAAAATGGAGGGCAAAACGTATGATTTTACAGTGTGCTATGCATTTGTTTAAAAAACCCTTTTCTTTATAACACTAGAAAATGATTTAATAATAATAATAATTGAACTTTATTGATCTCACACTGGAAAAATGTATCTCTGCATTTAACACATCCCCTTGGGAGCATTGATATGTCACTGTGCGGCGCCAGGGGAGCAGTGTACAGTAGGGTTAAGGTTCTTGCTCAGGGACCCAGAGTGCAGGCTGTGGGGATCCAACCGGGTATTTACAACCCTCTCAAAGCACATTTGTTGTTAAAAACATAGAGAGCACGTCACAGTTCCAGATGGGAAGCATAGTAAGGGGAGCATCATGTTTTGGGAGCTAATTTATGATAGGAAGAAGACACAGCACAGCAAATTCATGGTCCCGAATGGTCTCCTTTCCTACCTGAAGAAGCCTTGGTTATTTTATCTGAATAAGCAATGATTCCAGTATCTGGATATGCAAGCTGGTTGACATATACCGCAGCAGAATGTCGTCTCAGCAAGAAAATGTGGTTCTACAAAGGCAGCCTCAACACTAACACATACAAGATGTTTCAAATGTTTCTTTCAGAATGATTCGTGCACATTCTTAAAAAGTCTAAAATTTGCTTTTAGCTTTTTCCAGGGTTGGATAATTATGGGTGCAAAAATAAATAAGTAAATAATAGGTTTAGTGTTTGGAAAAAAAGTTAGATTTTCCTCACTCTTTTCTTTTTACGTTTTTCTCTGTACAAAATGTAAATACGAAATCTAATAATACTGAACAATTGCAGCAGCTTTTATATTCTGTTATATTTAAATGGTATCTTTTATTTTTGTTTAGAAAAACCACAACCCAATTTTATAATGTTAGGCTTTTGGCTGGCGGACTGAATGCTCTATTACTGAACAAACTGACAACTTTAAATTCAGATTCAGTCAGACCATTGGTCCAGTTTTAAAGCAATGCTGCTCTTTATGCTGGGAATTTAAAATTAGAAGCCAAATTCAGCATTGTTACATGATTTGTGAAACCTAAAGCCCGGGAAAATTCATTTACTCTTTCGGAAGTTTGAGGTAAAAATAAAAGAAAACAAAACAAAGGTTTGTTCTGTAAAATAGATGCTTTTCAAATATGATCATGGTTTGGAAATCTGGATTTTGGTAAAAATTGGAAAGTCATTCTCCTTTCATTTTGCTTCTTATAAATACCCTACATTTTATTAGTCTGTCCAATAAAATTACAATAAAATAGATTTGTAAAATAAAATATACTACATTTCTGGTTGTAATGTTTTAGAACGTGGAAAAAGCTTAAGGGGTGTGGGTATATTTTCAAAGACAAGATGTTTGTCGTTTAACTTTATTTTCCTTTTTTTTCACCAAAATTCTAGCATCTGCATTTTCAGAGAGATACCTTGGACCGAAGAGGGACTCCCGAGTTTATATGGTAAGCCGTCTTCAGATTTAAGATCCAGATTTTAAAGTTTGAGGAAAACATATCGAATGAAGTTGTGATAGATTTTTCTTTTTCCCTTCTTCAGGCGGCAAATTTATCTCAGAGGGCGGGTCGTCTGCTGGAGAAACAGTACTTAATAATTCACCCGACAGCTGATGGTATCACACGTACACAGTTGTTTATGATTTTAAATCACCATGAAAGAAGTAATAAGAGTCTGTGTTTCTCTGTGTCTTTGCTCTTATTCTCTACAAACACAGAAAAGGTTCACTTCCAGCACACAGCCAAATTTATCAACCATTTAATCAGCGAGAAGGCCAATTACACTCTACAGGTGAGCTTCACATGCTGTCAAAGAGATTCTTGGTTTTCACTGAAACATTTATAAATGTCAAGTCAAACAACAGACAAAACTTAGTGAACTAAATAAGTATTTTTTTTTTCTTAAAATAAGTGAATTTTTTCTTGAATTAAGGAGGTAAGTGAGACACTTTGCCAATGGAACAATACAATTTACATCTAAAATAGGAAGAAACAATGGCATTTTCTTATTTTAAGAGCAAAAACACTAATTCTATTAGCAAATTACCAAATCAGTGTACAGTTCTTTTCCAGGTAAAATTCAGGTGTTTGTAATTGTGCTTTTAACTGATGAAATGGGACATGAATTTATCATATTTGGACATTCTTATATTTTCTTCTGCGTCAGTTATTTTTTAACAGTACAGTATTCTGAAGAAAATGCATCTGCAGTTTTCTACCAGATCCTCCTTAGTCCATGGCGACTATCATGTGTTCAGGCCTTTAAAGTGGCTTCCTTGTGGCAGGCTTAGTCCTAATTATTCCTGAATTCCATTTATTAGTTTGGGTTTCTTTCAGACTTTTATAAGAGGATGGTCTCTCTCTGTAGGTACAAATACATTTCACCTGCAGAGAGACCTTTGAACTTAATCATGAAAGTAGTTGTATCTGTTACTATTTTACAGATTTACCCGGATGAGGGCCACTTCCTGCACAGCGAGGGCACACAGCAGCACCTGAGTCAATCCCTCCTCAACTTTTTTGAGGAATGTTTTCGGAAGCCGGAGGCACCCAAGGACGATGAGCCGGATGAGCCAGAGGAAAACAGTTAAACCCAGGCAGCCCTGGCCTGCTCCTGTATCACAGCACAATATGCAACAAATCTTTCCAATCTAAAGTCTACACCACCTGCCGTCCAATCTGATTTTAGCTCTAATCTGAAGCACCTGCATGTGTGATCCCTGCGGTTCGACTCACACTGGCTGCTGTTGAGAAAACCAGTCACACAGAGGCTGAATAAAACTCAGATAAGAACAGATATATCTCCAACTAGCTGGACCAGTGCGCCCTCTGGTGGACAGACAGAGGATCCTCCAAACCCTAACAGGCAGGCTAAGCAAGTTCTTTGCAGGTTATTCCCATGAAGAGAAGAGAAATCATTTTTTTTTTAATGCTGCCAGTTTGTGATAACCTTGCCAATTAACTTGATTATTGTGTTCTTGGTTTAATCAGAGTTGTTTTTTCCAAATTCTCTGTTTAATGTCTTACTGTGTGTCAGTGAAAGCATCAGTCCATAGTGGCTTTAGAAGTTGAAGGCACAATGTAACGCTCAAAGATTGTATAAATAATGAGGTTTTAATAGTTTCTTTGTGCCCACTTTTCTTTATATAGCTCTTGTTTTAGTCACTGTGCCTTACTGTGGGGGGATGTTCACATTAGGAGCCCACACCACACTATAAAACAAGCAACATGGTCCGAACAGAGCAACAAAGACATTTATGATTTAGAACAAAGTATTTCTTGTATTTTTTTCCTCGCAGCACATTGGACAGAGCTTCATATAAAATAAACAGACATCATCTTATATTACCTACCAACACATGTAACCATTAGTTAGTTTGCAGTTTCCTGATATTTAAAGTCATTTTATTATTTGAACAATTGTTTGCTGATGTCCTAAAGAGCCTTTCCTCACTGTGTCATTTCTGTTTGTACCGTGCGTGGATTCCAGTCAGCTGCTGTAAAAAGTGTATAAACCTGACATGAAGTCTCTATGTTGTATGTGCAACTTGTACATAAAGCATTTTGAAATGTATTTTGTCTTCGATTTCCTGACTCTAAAGCAGCATACTAACAGTGCAGCAGGACATGATGCATTTTATGCATAAAAAGTCATATTTTTTCATTTAAGCGAACAGTTATCAAGAGTTATCTACTCCCTCTAAAGGTAATAATAAAGGCAAAAAAAAATCATCTTAAGACACATACTGTTACCCATAAACAGAGTAAATGCACAATAATTTTTAAACTTTTGAAATTCTTAAACTGTAACTTTTCATAGTTTTATCCTGTTTATATGATCCATAAATTCAGAAATTAAACAATGATAGTTATTTTAGCTTTAGTCTACAATCTGTAATACTTCAATTGCAAATAAAGAAATCAAGAAATCTTGTTAAGAGTTTCTAAACCTTTATTTAGTCTGTAAGTCACCAGAAAAAAGGCAGCCTCTGAATTTGGTTTCTAAGATCTACATGGAAAGGATGCATCATAAATGCAATAAAGTTGCCCTTACCTGATTTTTGTGTGAGCAGTTTTTCACTGGGTTGGTAAATCCGCCTTAAATATGACAATTTAATGTCTTCATTAAACTAACGTTATTGGTCTTAGATATGTGGATCTACTTCCATACTTTTCAACCTGATTGTTATTAACTTTTTTATGGCAGTGTTTGCATTGAGTTAGTTGAAAAGTAAATAAACAACCTTATTAATAAAGCTTAAAGGGCATTTTCCACTAACTGCTGATAAAGATATGACTGTTAAACATGCAGGCAGCAGTTTTAATGAGGACAGAGCAGCTGATAGGGACTGCTTTAAAGAGCGCCTAAAATCCTTCCTGTTGAGGAACTCAATTTTGTTTTGCACCAAAGCAGTGTTACAGGCAATGACAATTACCTGTAATTATTAGTGCAATGGTGCCAGTACCATCTAACCCAGATAAACATCCACCCTTCCTTTATCGAACCGCCTATTCCCTAATGGGAATCTCTATCCTAGTAGTCAAAAGGCAACAGGCGGGGTACACCCTGGACTGTTCGAGTCCATCGCAGGGCCACACAGAGACATGCAAAGAAGAACGCACTCACTCCTTAGGGCAATTTGGGATGTCCCACCAACCTAACATGTTTTCGAACTGCGGTAGGAAGCCAGAGAACCTGGTGAAAAAGACAGCGAGAAAATGCAAACTCCACACAGTTTTGAACCCAGAACCCTCTTGCTGTGAGGAAATGGTGCTAATCACCACACCACCGTCCCATCCTCCCAAATAAACAATTTATTGAATAATCACAGATTTAAAAGATAAGACCTTTTAAGCCTAATAAAGCCAAATCTCTGCCTGTAGATGATTCACCTAAGAAATGGGTCAGCCACCGATGCATCTGGAAGGGCAGCAGGCAGATATTTATCATACAGAGTGAGGTGGAAACTTTAGATGATGACCAGATATCATAAAGGGCAGTAAAGAAGCCAATTCTCTCCAAACAAAACACCAAGAACCAGGGTTTGAATGCAGAAGGCTGGTCATATTTACAGAGGGAACCCCTTTAGGTTATAATGGGAAATCTGAAGAAAAAAAAAAACGTGAAATGGCTCATATGACATGTGAACAGTGAAACATCCTTAGATTATTAATCTGAGAGGTCCAAGCTTTACAATCATTCCTAAAAAGCACCACAAATATTTAAATACTACTTTCAAAATGCCCTCCTGGTGAAAGGTGGTAAATAGCACCATAATATCAGAAAAGTTAGAAGGTCAGATCAAAACATAAAATAATTGGAGTTTGTTTTCATCAACCTGATTGCATGTTGGGAGAAGCTTTTGAAACATCCGACCTTGAGGACATCTTAGAGAGATCGAGCAATAAAGCATTTACAGGTTTATGAAAACTACCTATTTCTACCAATGTAGAAGCTTTTGATCTATAACAGCACATACATTTCATTTCACATGTAAAACAGTGATATTAACATAAAATCTTAACAGAAAGTTTTGAAACAAAAACTACATAAAATCTGCCATATTTAAGACTTTATATTTAATCACTTCTATGTAGTTTGCCTTGATTAGAGGTTTCAGGAACGGAATTGTTTTCAGCAAAGTCCAGACATTTTCTGAGGTTCAGTGATTTAGGTCATTTCACAAGCCTCATACACTAACACCACGGGTAGAGCAGACAATTATGCCCAAGGTTAAACCATTTAGCTGTCAGAGAACAAGAGCAACACAGCAGGATGCTACCATCGCCATGCCTGACAGCAGATCAGCAGCTGCAATCTCCAAAGGATTGTGTTTCAATCTCAATCTGAGGCAATTTTTAAATACAGTGGTAGATTGACTGGCGGATTGGTGTGGTGTCTGCTGTGAAGCGGGCTCTGTACCAGTCCATTTTGGTGCTGAGAGAGCTAAGCCAAAAGGCAAAGCTCTCGATTTACCGGTCGATCTACGTTTCTACCCACATCTATGGTCATAAGCTTTCAGTCATGATCGAAGAACCAGATCCCAGATACGAGCGGCCGAAATGAGTTTTCTCCGTAGTGGGTCTGGGCTCTCCCTTAGAGGTAGGGTGAGGAGCTCAGTCATCCAACTCAGAATAGAGCTGCTACTCTTCCATGTTTAGAGGAGCCAGTTGAGGTGGCTCGGGCATCAGGATGCCACCTGGACGCTTCCTTAGTGAGGTGTTTCGGGCACGTCCCACCGGGAAGAGACCCAGGACATGCTGAAGTGACAATGTTTCTAAGCTGGCCTGGGAACGCCTTGGGATTCCACCGGAGGAGCTAGCCCAAGTGGCTGGGGAGAGCGACATCTGGGCCTCCCTACAGAAGCTGCTACCCCCGAGTCTCGACGCCAGAATAGCAGAAGAGGATGGATTGAGTTGGGAAAGAAGGATTCCTCATAAAAAATGTTTCCATCTAAGTTGTTATAAAGAGGAAAGACAAAAGATACCACACAAACACAAATTAGTTTCTACCATTGAGAAAATTTATTTCCAGTGTTTCAGGGGTCTGTGCACATCCTTCACAATCTGAGGAACATTGTAATCATACAAATAATCCACCTGAAAAATCCACTCCTCCCCACAGAGAAGTACCAAACTGCCCACAACACTCACCATCATCATCGTTTTTTCACAATACTGTACTTGGATCCTGCGATTTGATGGGAGATGCAAAGTAAAGCAGCTAAAAACATGGCATTTATATGTACATTTAAATTACTCTTGTTTTTTTTGTTGTTTTTTTAAATCTCCCGATGAATATTTAAAATTCAAGTTCTGTTAAAACAAAGAGATGAAAAACAAGATAAAGATGTATAAAACATTAAGACCAGAGTGGAATGCCTAAAGAACGGAAGCTCTGCATTTTTTGTTTTTTTCGTTACCAGCAGAAAGACTGAGTGGACGATTTAAAAAAATAAAGCGTCATTCACAGCAACATGTTTAACAAAGACAGTATGGCACCCTTTACATTTCTATGTGAGGCACTTTCTTATTATAATTAAACGTCTCTATTCCTGAACAACCCTTTTCATTTTATTTCACTTCCGTTCAGAGATGAAGAAACCATCAAGTCTAAAAACACAACTTAACACGTACATCAATGGAATGACGGGCGCCGCCTTGTTTTTTTTTTTTTCTTAAACCACACAGCAGGATGAAGATAAACCGTATCAACTGTTTGCATAAATCCAGTCACTTTTATACCTTCTGAAAGGCCCCATTAACAGCAGAGAGCTTGTAGGCAGTCAGTCGCACACAGGCTGTACCAAAAAACACACTTCAAGTACACAGAAAAATAAGAATATGTACACTTTCGAATGAAAACAAGCATGTAAAGCTTTTAGTCAGTATTACAGCAAGCATGTCTGTACATTCTTCATTTGGTTACCGACAGCCTCGCTGACTTTAAACGTAACTTTCTCAACACAAAAATAGTTCCTCTGCAATACTAAAATCTGTACTTTTATTCAAGTACCTCCTATTATTCTAGGTCAGATCCTCCCTATAGGCTCAGCTGGACATTAGAGCTTTTAAACTTCCTTAAACCTGCTTCCCCAGGTCAACATTTCATCAGCAACAGGTCCTTTACTTTGACTTATTAAAAAAAGTTATAAACGTTTGTTTCATGCCTTGTTCAGGGGGTAGATAAAAGATTCATCTGTTTTCATAACGCACTCACACCAGGTAAAAGACACACTCCGGACACCGTTTGTAAACATGCTCATTCGCCGACATTGGTCACATGACAGAGGATATAGAGACAGAAATACATCCCACACACACACACACCTGTCACAGGTATTGGTAGAAGCGCGAATGGACCACCTGGGAGCTCGTGAGTTTATGAGGGTGAGCGGTGGCTGACAGGCTCAGATTTTTACTCTGTGAGAGTTCACCGTTTAACGCCTCGACAGGATGACGCACCATTTCGGAGGATGACGAGGCCTCGGAGTTTTGGGAGTTCGTGCTGCATGTCGCCCCGAGCTGCTCTGAGAGGTCCAGGCTGACCTCTGGGTTGCTGGTGCGGTGGCGCTCGCGGGCAATCCAGTCGCCGATGGAAAAGTCCTGAGAGCTGCACTTTGGTTTAAGCCGGTCTACGGCTGACAGTTCAGAGCGTGCGCCGACAGGCTGTGACCAATCCCCCAGAACAGACAACTCGGCAAAGTCCCTCTGCCCGCCCATGGTATGCCTGCGTCTGATGTTCTTTTTCTTACTGCGACCCTCCGGGGAGCGGCTCCTCTGGCTGCCCACGCCGAACATGTCGTCTACAGATGTTCGCAGACGCACCTTTAGTCGATCTGTGATCTTCAGTTTCCACGCTGGCTCCATTTTATCCAGTTCGCTCCTCGACGACGAGCTGAGACTCCCAGTGGAGCGACCTTTAGCTGAACCCACCACCTGGGATAATCTGTTTGGGTCTTTTTCGCCACGAGCGCCGTCCAATGAGGACTCACTTTCAGTTTTCTGCTTGCTAGCTTTCTTTCTGGACAGCGTGTCGCATTCAATGAGCCTCTGCGATGGGAGCAGTCTGGGAGCCTCCAAAGGTTCCCTCTGTTCAGCTTTCCCAACGGTGAACACCGACAGGTCGCTCTCGCTGTCCGTCTCCATAGCCCGCCCCTCGCTGATGAGCTCGCTCCTCTCGTCATCTGCATCTTCCCCCCCTCTGCTCTCCGACACAGACTGCACTTCAGGACTGAGCGTACTGGTCTCAGCTCCGGTCAGGAATGTCATGGAGGAGGTGGTGGAGTAATCTGAGGTGATGGAGCAGACCTCTGCTCCCAGTCCTCCAGGACATCCATCTGCACCCACAGGTGCATTTTTGTTGCGCCTCACTCTGGGCACCGAAGCCTGAGAGCTGGTGCTGTTCATCGTACCGAGGTCCGACACTGTGTCATCGTAGTTGGAAGGCGGGTCTGACAGGGATGACTGATGAGTCATCGGCATGCGGTAGTTGAGGTTTGGGGAACTGGAAGGAGAGGCGTACGGCGGCCCCTGAAGGCTGGAAGAAATGTGCTCTGAATGGAGGGAGGCAGACGCTTCTGATTGTTTCCCGACAGGTTCGTCCAGCAGGTCCTCTGAGCTCTTCTTGTGCTTGTCTTTATCCCCGGCTTCATCCGTCAGGCCGTCGTCCTCCGTCTGGCTGTCCTGGGACCACAGAGGCTGCTGCCCCTCCTTTGCAAGCTCCTTTTTATTAAAACCAGAATCCAGGTCATCATCTGAACTGCTAAGTTGAGGTTTTTCTTTATTTTTCTTGCGTTTCCGGTTGGCAAAGATGGAGGAGCGCAGCATTTCCTTGCTACACTGATTCCCTGAAATCCACAAGCCCTGAAGACATAAACCAAAACAGTATTAAAGACTAATCAAAGTGTTATTTGACGCGCACAAACAACAAAACAGTGAAATTTATGCCTTTTAAACATTAGGAATCTACTCTTCAAACAGCTTTGCTTTCCAATTCTCTCTTTGCTATCATTACTCCTAATTTTTTGTTCACTTCAAATACTATCTGAAAATAAGTAGACAATTCTTAAAATAAGTGTATTCACCCTTAATTTGTGTAGCTAAATAAGATTATTTGCCAGTGCAATGAGTGCTTTTACACTTAAAAATAATAAAATTAGATATTATGGACTTGAAATAAGACAATGCAGTTGTTTTTTTATTTCAAAATACTTGTTTTAAGAAAATTTAAAGTTTTTCCTTACAACTTTCTAATGACATGCTTGGAAACAGCACACTGAAAAGTGTATTTTCTGAAAAACTAATCATTTAACTTAACAAACAGAAACACTTCAAATACACAGGTTTCCCGTTTTGAATTAAATGGTTATAAGAAAAATTAACTGGATAAAAATCTTAGGTAATGAGAAGCTGCTCTATAAATAAGCACAACAACAAGGTGTTTAAAAAGTATCTTACCTTGGATTTATTGGAGTCAGGACATGCCGGGTCTGCATTAGAAACAAGAGACTTATCAGTACATGGAGGAGTTTTAGAAAATGACACTTTGCTAAAATAGACAGAATGGATATAATGAGAGCAGCTTGACAAAAGCGGATGACGCATTTCCCGTAAGAAAGACAGGAAGAGAAGTAACAGTCAGCGTTAATGCAAAAGGGTGAACAGAGCAGCAGAAGGTGCCTGAGATGAAGGAGAAGAGGTGAAAACCCGGCAGTAAAGGACACAAAAAGCAGCTCATGCTCATGTATCAATGGAACGACGGCACATCGGGGACAAACACGGCAGTCACAGAGCATTACATGGAGCCACCAACCAGCTGAGGGCATTCTTTCCCAACTCAAGACGTCACAGAGGAGGGGGAGTCAATGAGATTTCCCTAACAGAAATTTGAGGTGGCCCTGAGTGTGTTGGATCGGTGAGGGTGTGTGTGATCGTAAGCTGGAGCAGGCAGGCTTCATTGCTACAGATTTTTCTCACTCAGAAACCTGCTGTATTGAAATTAAAACATGGACCCGGTCACTAAAAACAAAAAAACAAAAGGCAAAAGGTAAAACAGTGCGCAGCTAAACTTTAGACTGAAACTAATGATAAGAAGCAGATCAATCGGCCTTTCTAAACAAATACTTACAGAAACTTTTGAGGTCAAAGAAACAAAAGTAACTCCTGCTTAGATTCCAAAGAGCAACAAAAAAAAGGCTGCAAACAAAAGGGTCTAACAATCAGTGAGGACATTTCTAAGGCTTTCGTTTTATTTCATAGCATGCTAAATTTATATTTGTACTCGAGGGTCACATGATCACCTAAACCACAATAAGGAAATCCATAGTACATTATTGGTGCCACCAATCTATTGGCCAAGGATCAAAACCAACTCTGACAGGTGACCAGCAATTTTAATTAAATGTTTCAAAACTAAAAACTCCCACCAGCACGTTCTGAGATTCACTTCAAATGCTTTGTTCATATCAACTGTTCTTTACTTTTCATTGTTGCTATACATGTACCTAAAATAAATTTTCCACCTAAAGCTCTCTAACCTTTGTGACTAGAGGGTTTGAAACTCAAAAATTCTGATCATTGAATGCAACACAATTGCTGCACTGCAGCATAATTTGGTAGAAATTCTGTAATGAGGGTTCCTACTAATCTTCCAGGTCTAAATTCCAGACTAACATTTCCATGTTACTCAGCCCTTCACAGCATATTACATGATATACAATACAGATATTTATAGGGATGGATAGAAAAAGAATGACAGAAGAGTGAAAGGAAGAAAGAGAGCAGAGTGAAAAGGTGGAGGAGAGAAGAAAAGAGAAAGAAATAAAGTCATAGAAGGAAAGGCAGTGTGAGAAAGAATGAAGGGTATGAGAGTAAGAAACAGCAAAAAGGAGAGAACAGCAGAAAGACAGAAATAAAGAGAATAAAAAAGGACATTAGGAAGAACAAATATAAGAAGCAAAGATTGGAAGGAAGGAAAAACGTAACGAGGGATGAGGTTCTGAGGACAGAGGGAAGGAATATGGAGAGATGATGAAAAGACGACATTGAAAAGGGAAGGAAAACAGAAAGAAGCTCACTAGATTAAGACAGCTTGAGCAGCAATAGAAAGTCTGAAAATATGAAAGAACGTATCTGCATATTTTTACTTTTCCTTTGTTTGTTTTTAGTTTTTTTAGAATAACTTTTTTTGGTTTCTAGTTTAGGGAATCAAAACTGGAAGATTTCAGACTAATCGACAAATCGATGCTCGATATATAGGACCTCACTGCATATTTATAATGAAAAGTATTTCCACTACAACCAAACAGAAACCCTTACAAAATTCTAGCCCAACATAGCCACTGGTGGGATGGTGTATTCCTCTAATCTGAACACAGACAAAGAAGTTGCAGGTTGGGGTAAGGCTACGTTCATATAGCAGGCCTTAATGCTCAATTCAGATTTTTTTGTGAAATTTTGTTTGCATTGCTGTTCACATTTCCAAATAAATGCGACTTGAATGTGATCTCCTGTGTGAACTGCATTCATACAACTTAAGTGTCCAGCATGCGCAGTAGAGGACACATTGACAGCACAAGCAAGTGTGCTCTGTGTTTACGAAGTACAGGGATGGTAGTGCTGGAGCTCATCTAGCGATCTTTCCCAACCTTAAGAATTCAATCTTTTCAAGACGGTTAAAACAAAACAAAAAAACTGCTCTACACATTATTGTCAAGCATGGATGTTATTCTTCCTGCTTCTGCGTAGCAAGATGCAGAATAGTGACCTTTGTTGGAAATTAATGACGTTCAGGTGGGATGAATGCGACCTGGCTGTTCAGACACAGGTCGCATTTGAAAAGATCAGATTCATATTGGATTCAGGACCTCATAGTCAAGTGCTCTGGTTTGCATTGGAAAAAAAATCTGATCTGTGTTGTTCAGACTGCCATAAAAAGATCAGATACAGGTCGCATATGGGCAAAAAAAACAAAACAAACAAACAAATCTGATTTGAGTCACTTCAGGCTTCAATGTGATCATAGCCTAAGTGGCATTCTGCAGTGACTTTCCTGACCAGTTCCACTGAGCTCTAAACACCCAACATCTACTATTTCAGGTAAGAGTCACTAAACAATGACTGGACTAACAGACCAGATTGACACTGTTTCTGTGTTTACTATGATGTAGGAATACAGTGAGTGATTGATGCGGTGTCAATAGTTATGTAACAGAGGGAGATGAGAAGCTATGTGTGTGTCTGTAGTCGATGGTGTGAAAAATTCTACAGAGACAAAAAATGTTTACATCACACAAAATAAATGACAAAAAAAGGCAGCACCTGAAACCTGAAAAAAAGTAAAAGAAAAAATCTACACAGACACAAATTTGCCTCCATCTACATGCTCACAGTTGTTTAATGTGCAACCTGGAAGCCTGCACACCTCTGCATCAGTTAGTTCTGATCGGGCTGGGATGTGGCTGTATGAGTGGAGTTTTTGTGTGTGCCAAAGGGAGGGGGCATCCAGCTCCGTCCTAACCCTATGAACCCCACCCTCGGACATCATGACAGATTATGCCACATAACCGGAAGAGAACCTGAGGTTGTCCATACCATGCTACTTGTCCTTGGGATCAGCTTAAAAGACAACAAGAGACAGCAGAAGGGCTTTCAGAGAAAGTGCAGCAGCGTGGCTCTGTATCCCCTCAGTTTAGGGTTTAAATATGAGATGTGCACAGCACAGGAACAATGACAAACATCGACTTCTCTTTCTTTCTTTATCTTTTTTTCCTCCTTTCGGCCAAATTTAAAAGAGCTGCGGGTTTCTGCAGACTAGGCAGCTACACTGGGCACAACACTCGTCCTTCTTCCTACAGTCCCAGCTGTCCATCACTGACAAAACAGAGTCCATCAGGGACACCATCGAGTGATAGACGCCGCCCACTTGGCCTGTGTCAAGATTGGGTAATGAGTGAGTGCTGGACAGGGATAAGGGAGGAGAAAGAACACACTATACACAGAAGGGCACAGGTCAGAAAGGGTTACAACTTCCATCGTTTATGTTTTTGTTTGGTTTAAGATTTTCTTTGGGAAAGAACATGCCGGGATTATGTGAGAGATGATGAGGAGGGGAAGAAAAGAACTGAAAGAAAAGGAGTCGTCATTCAACATAGAAAAAGCACAGGGAAGGAAAAAAAAGGACTTAAGCACGGAAAATAAAAAGTAAAGCAAAGAAATTAATGGAAATAAAAACTGGACAAATCTACATTTGGGCAGAAATAACAAAACCAAAGAAATCAAGAAACAAATAATGACAAAACAAATTCAGACAAAAAAATAAATAAACCAATAATAAAAAAAAGCTCTGCTGCAAGGTGTTTCTCAGCAATTTTCCAGTGATTCAGCCACTCCATGATACACACTGAAAAACCACTGAAAAAGCTTGCTGTAAAAATACTCACAAAAACAAAGCTGATGTTTTTGTTCTGGCTAAAAGTATGTAAAACAATTAAAATACGTTTTATTGCCTTTTATAACTTATCTACCATATTTAACATATTCTCATATAACATAACATTATGGAATATGGCTGTTGAGGTAAAAGAAATAGAGCTTCTGAGTTACCTGAAACTTCACCAGGGGAGGCAGGAACCCGGCTAATGTTAGTGAGCAGGTGGCCAATATTGGGCACAGGTTGAGACTGCACTGTGTTTTCCTGCTCAGAGGCCGTCTGAAGCATCAATAAGGTAGACAGGAGAAGAATAAAAGAACAAAAATATATTTTAGACTAATTACAATGGGTTCAGTACATGTAAATAAACACAAAAACTCCAAATGCAGTTTTCTAAATAGTGGATAGAATTGGGACCAATCTGGCATGAAAGCTTTCTCATATTTTGCACTTTTTGTCACGATGCAGGCATGAACATAGTCAAATAATACATATTTGTAAAGAAGAGGGACAATCATATATTATTACACGGTTGCTTACATATAAAAATAAGAATAAAATGTGCTTCCTTTAACTCAAGATAGCTGTAAATGAATTGCAAGGCACTGCATATCACCCTGAACCAACATTTAATGGAAACATGGCAGTGGCAGCATCACGTTCTGGGGTGCCCTTCTTTGACAAGGACAGAGAAGCTGGTTAGAGATCAGAAGATCGATGAACCTGAATGCAATGCAATTGTACAAGGAATATATGTTAGATTCTGCAAAACCCGGAGTTTGGGGGGGAAAAAACAGCTAACCAGACAGCCTGGATTATGATGGAGACGTTTGGTTTCCTGTCAAAGTCCTGATTTAAATCTACTGGTAAAAGTGTGGCCATATATGAAAGCTGATGTTGAAAGCCCCACTCCATTTATTCCAGGGGTGGGCAATTCCAGTTTTGTATCCTGCATCTTTTAGATGTGCCTTTGGTTCAACACATCTGAATCAAGCAACTAGATGATCGAGAGGACTCTGGAGGAACTGACTGCATACTGAGGAGGTAAATCAGCTATTTGATTAGGGTGTGTTGGACCAAGCATGCATGGGTCTTAAAGTTGCAGGTTACTGGCAACTAGGAAGTGGAATTGCTCACCCCTGATTTAATCTGACTGATGAGGTTTACTCTATATTTGTAAAACTGAAAAGGACAAAAAAATGTAAAAATCTAGATGTATAAGGTCCAAATGTTTCACGTGTGTCAAGAGCTGAATCTGATGGGGATGAATAAAAACTTTTCCGTTATTTTGCAAATAATTATTAGTGAGTGACTTTTCCTATTCCCAAACATTAAACTTATTAAAAGTTTAATGTTTAATGAGAGGGGGTGATATGTAGAAAGGACCACAGGCCGGTTTGTACCCGGGCTGGCCACATCGAGGACTAAGGAATTTGTACATTGGTTTGTGCGTGCTAACCACTGTGCCATGGAAGCACACCCCTATTCTCAAACATTGTATTTGAGTTGAACCACAAAATCTATGGAAGTTTGCATCTGCAAAAAGTTCCACTTATTTATTTTTTCCACACACTACTTACAACAGGGTCCTCATTGCTATCTTCCATAAAGAACCAGTCGAACTGCAGAATGAGGTTCTCCACAATCTTGCACTGGTCGGGCATGTGATTGACCATGTTGGTCATGTTGTCCTCTGTCGTTTTGACCAATGTCGGGCCGAATACGATTGCCAAGTTGCGAGGCTCCATCTAGACACAACATCAGAAAAAGACGAATTAGATTCCTGGACAAATTCCTGAAATTGGTAGACTCAGGACTTGTTGCCGGCAGGTCACACCTTGTTCTGTTCACAGTTGTCAGAAACTCTTTTTAGGTGAGCGCAAAGGAATTTCAGAGTTTCAAAGTGATGAGTGGGTAATTCATAGATCTGCAAAACAAAACCATTATTAGCACCTTAGAGTTTAATAATTGCATTCAATTAAACACCCTGCATTTCAGAATCTACTCACCAGCCTCTTGAGCTCCTTTAGTCTCTCCACTGAGTCTTCTGTCCTGCTGGCTTCAATAAATTTATCATATTTTTCTGAGAACGGGGCAAAAAAATTTACGTTAGTACAAACACGGACACAAGGCTGCTGCCCTATTTGGATTTCAAAATATAATCTTACCATTTGTAAACAGAGGATCTGGAAGTTTTCGGAAGAATGATTTTAACAGACTGCTGATGACATTGAGGTCCCTCCATTTCTGCAGAGATTTCTAAATGTTAGGGAAAATACTGGAGGCAGCACTTACAGTGAAAATGGTTTGACAGCTACTCACATCTTCCTGGATGTCAATGTCACCCATGCCTTTGGTGTCGAGTTCCTCCTGCATGCTAGAGATTGCTGCGTTGTTTCCAGGAACTCGGTAGATTCCCGTGTATTCAAGTCCACGCTCCTCAACGACCTTACAGCACACCTCCACCAGCAGAGGAACAAACTACACAGCAACAAACACCACATCATTCCATTGATTCAACAACTATGCTGTAAAGAAACCCCAGCTCACACTGATGAGCTGAAATTGGGAATTTCTCTTACAAAGAGAAAAAATATAAATGCTTCATGATGACATTAAAACAAAGAAAACATTTTAAAAACCCACCCTGTTAATTTGAGCAGGTGGACAATCTTCAAGCCTGACACCAAAAGTGATGCCAGCTTGCTTTTTTTCAAATGGTTTTTTCATAATCCCAGCTATGCCGATTTTCCAAGCTCCCCTGTCTCGAGGTGGACTTGAATCCTCTGTAAACAAGCCAAGAAATAAATTAGCCACCCAATGATGAAAGATGTTCTGACCACCATAAATGATTGTGATGATGTTACCTTTCAGCGCCCTTCGCTCATCTCCCGTTCTGGGCGAATGGGAGCTGTGGCTCCGGCCCTCTGCTTTACCTCCCAGGAAGGCTTGCTTGATGCTGAGTGACTGGCGAGAGGATTTCGGGGAGGGTTCTGATCTGCTGCTGGGAGCGCTGAGCAACAGAAAAAGTAAGACAGATTAAAATAAAGAGGTTTTTGTTTGGATGTTTAACTTAAACAGCAATTGCTTCAGGTAGCCACCAGGGGGCAATGCAGTTCCTTCAATACCTCATCATGTTGTATTCTTTGATCTTTCTACTAATCAAATCCTGGCTGGTGACAGAGGCATTCTGTAAAAAAAGAAAATAAATAAATAAGCAAATGTTTATATATATATATATATATATATATATATATATATATATAAATAAAGATATGGACAGAAGAAAAACATATTACTAAAAACTAAATGGCAATAACCAATAAAGACACCAAACACTTCGAATCAGAAGACACAATAAAAAAATCTCATATTACATAACACTAACTTGGTGTCAACCAGGTAGAATCCTGATACAAACTTTTCATTTCCAATACAATACCAATTTTGCAGCTATGAAGATTGACCAATACCGCTAATACTTATTTTGTACAGAGTAATGTCAGAAAAGGCTTGATCAAGTAATACTACTAAAACAGAGAAATAATTCAACAACAATGGTAGGAGAACAACTAGCTGATGTGTTAACCAATGATCTATAGAAACTTTAAACCGAAGCAGAGTTTTGACCAGCATGTCAATATTGGAGATTTTAGATGCTGGCCATTTTTTGGCTAATATCAGACCGATATCTGATGTTATCATCATATCAGGACACTCACAGAATCAACCCTCAATATTAATTCTTTAACAACTAGTTCTAAGTACGGTATTTAAAAGCTAAATGAGCTTCTTTTTTTTTTGCATATTCTATTTACTGTGGACATTTTGGGAGCTTTTTTAAGAGCTTCATAATCTACATCTAAGGCCTTAATCATTTCAACAAACAACACAGACCTTGAGTACTTATTTCCTTGAACAAAATACTACATAGCATTTTTTAAGAGCGGATGTCTTTCAAGAGAGCATGAATTCCTCAGCTAACTTCAGAACAAATTCAAAAAATAAATGAGCATTCCTGAGAGAATATGTATTAAAAAGAAACAGTTATTGGATTAATATTTAAGACTTATCAAAACTGCACTTATTTCTTTTTTAAGGGCTTAAAAAAGAATTTTATGAGACCTAAGACTTCAGAGCCTTGCAGAGCCACAGAAATGATTGAGAAGGTCTGAAAGTCAAAAGCCTCGTCTGAAAGTTAATGCAAGCCATATGAATGGTACAAACATCTTGGTTCCTGTGTAATGAATGAATGATTCAAAATGAATGAATAAACGAACCAACATCCTTTTTGGCCACAGATGAACAAAGACGACACCAAGAGTCTTGTTAAAAGAAGTCTTTGTAATCAGTTCTGACCATTGTCATGTTCTCTCTTCACACGCCAACCTTTATTGTTCCTCTCAGGTAAAACAGGTTTGAAGGCACCTCTTTCTGAAGTTATTGTTAACCAGTTTATAAATGAAGTTTTTCATCCTATCCTTAGGTTAACCTGTGATTCAGTTACAGGCATATAGGTATGAATTTGATCTGAAATGTAGTTGGGTGGTTTGCTTATTTCCTTTCCCTTTCCTTATTAAAGAGCTACTAGGCTCTGTACTGAGGATTTTATTGGAGGAAAACTGGAGGAAACGGTTCAGTGTGTTGGCTCCATTTGATTTTCAGTCATTTTCAACCATTTATATGACCTAACCATGACATCAACATTTAATCTTACCATTACCAGTGCTTGCCTAACCCTAACCTTAAGATTGGTCCTAAGCTTGTTAGCAAAAAGTGAGCAACCGCAAAAACGGTCTGCATTTTGATGGGGGAAATCTGAAAACTTGTCCTCAGTCTAATCCCAAAAGAGGAACACACAAACACGTACACACACCTCCTCATCCGGGTTACTGTTTTCCTGGATGAATCGGATCCATGCGAGCATGTCCTCCCTCCCCTCTGCCTGGAACAGATACTCGCAGTCTGAGGTGGTTAACCTGAACACATTCTTGCGTCTTGTTTCGCTGTAGGAGATGTCAATCAGACAGGCCTTGATGCTAATTCGGAGTGGGTCCTCATAAGGCTGCGATGCAGCCTGAGAAAGAGCTTCCTTCTTGTCTTTGTAGAGGGTCAGGGTATGGCCTTGTAAAACAGCATACATTTGTTTCCAGGATCTCATTCCCCCACCGACTCGCTGCAAAATGTAAAACAATGCCTAAACATCCCATCTGTGATGAACGCGGCTTGGTAAGGAGAGTTTGGGGATCAAAGATTACCTTGTTCTTTTCTGTGCCAAGTTGCCTGAAGTTAAGAAAACCTTCTTTGGAGGAATCGGCAAATACATCTAAAGAGGAGTCCCTACGAGATCCAGAATCGGGTCTATGTCCATCCAGAGTCTGCACAAGTCAAAATAAGACATTTTTTCTAGCATTATTACATGATAGTAGAGCGTGGTGTGATAGTCAGAAAGGAGGATGACACAGAACACAGCAGACTGAGGATATCCCAGCGTAATAGTTATGATCATCTAAAGAGTAAAAAAACATATTTTTGGACATGTAGGTGTTAACATTCAACTTGGTACAACAGGTTTCATTTCTGTGTGACTGGTTTTAAAGATAACAGAGCGATAGTGTCGATTTTCATCCCATCCTTTTACTTCCATAGGTCTCTGAGGGCAAAAGCTTAAGTGTAAACAAAAAAACAATAAAAAAGGTAAATAAAAAACAGTTTTGAATCATATTTACAAAATCTGTGACTAAATGTTCAAATTTTTTAGAAACATTGTGCTTGTACTAGACCAATCAGTGAATGCCCCTAAGTAAAGTCTGAGGACAATAGTACCAATAAATTCAGAGAAAACAAAACTTTTTTTTCCCATTTTCTTTGACCGAATCAGCTATCAGAACAAACTTATAGCAGCAAAGATTCTCTGTTTTATTATTTGACCAGCGTAATTCTGTATGCCACTGAAAATGCTGAAAGACCTTTATAGATTCTTTATAAGCGATAGGCTTAAGCTAAATTACACAAATAAGTAATACCGTAAATGTAATAAAAAAAAAAGAAATAAAAATTGGACAATAAGGGCTGAACTCTACTTTAAGTACATCAGATTCACTATAATCACAAAATTGTAGGATGCTTTGACAGTATATTTCTTAGTTATTAGTTTATTTCTGATCCTTTTTAACTTCTCATAAATGCTAGCATTACAGTGGAACACCACTATAATAGCAGCATATTAAGGCAGATTAGCAGGAAACCCAGTGTAAACGCATTCTGGCCTTATATTGCAAATAATTTATCTTCATTAGTTTTGACCATCATGGCAGTAATGAAAATAACACAAATAGTCATTTTCTCATTACCACTGTAATCCCTTTGCACTACAAAAAGAAAGTTAAAGATTCCAGCCGATCAAAAAATTATGGACATCTATCTTATCTTTCAGTTTTAAATACATTATTGTAAGTAAAAAAGGCAATTTATTTCACATTTGTGAACTTAAAAGTTAAAACAGTAAAGAAATCAGAACTTTCGCAGCTTTGATTTGTTCTGATTCCATTAACTGTTAACTACTGAAATCGAAAATTAAAGATTGCAAAAATAGAACAGAGAACATAACATTTCTCAGCTTTGCCAGGAGCAGCAAATCTTTGTATTTCCTCACCTTTCTCAGGCCTCTGAAACTTGACATATGCTTGCTTGAAGAACTTTTGCATAGTGAGGAAAAAAAAGGTAAGGTCAGACAGACTAACACTAATTATTACAGACAAAAAAAATCCATAATCCTGTGCGTGCACTTACCCTCTTCTCTCCTCCTGGTAAGTATCCAGACCCTCGTCGTAAGACTTGGACCGCTCTGTTTTACTAGCAGTGTCCGAGTCCAACAAAGCACTCCGCAGAGACTCTAAAAATATATGGTACAAATATTATTAGTAGTATTTACAATGCTGTTTAAAATTTTCCAACCCAAATGATATTCCAAGTTGAATTAAATCCAATGTCAATTTTCTTTATAAAGACAAAACAATAACGTATTATAATGGGGAAAAAAAGAATGGCATTTTTTTTTTCAATGAGGTGACATTAGCCAACCCAAAGCCTTTTACCTTGGTCATGTGACAATTGTCGACGAATAGTAGGACATGGTGAGCCTTGACTGGAGGGTGCTGTGGCTATGGATGGTGCAACAGATATCACAGCAGAGGGGGGAATGGGAGCAGCCTCTCGGTCAACACTGGGGCTGACTGGCTCATCTAAAATATTCAGACAGGAAAATTTACTCATACCTCCCTGTTGTCCGTAATAATTGATTTCTACACTTTGACTGACCACAGGGGAGAAAAGTGTGGGGGGAAAAAAGTTTTCACAACTATCAGATGTTGCTGGAACTGTAAGCCAGTAAAGCACAAAGCTGTTCTCTGCAGCCAAGGGGCTTTTGGAGCTAAATTTAAAAGCTACTGCCCTAGTTCCAGCCTGAACCCAACTCTGAAACTGGGCATAGGAAAAAAAGATGTGCCTGTGTCTCTTTAACAAGGCTTTTATCATGCCTATTTTTAAAGGTTACATCTATCACTGAGAAACTCCAGGGGGGTAACAGACTGCAAGTCTTGCATTTTTCCTGAGCAAGAAATGTGAACAGGAGTAAAAGATGATTCACTACAAAGTAGCCTTTGCAAAAACATCTGATAAATTCGACTGTGTAATGTGGTGAACTATCAGCCAGGAAACTGTAAGCCGGATTCAGATCAAGAGATTTAGCAGAGTGACTGGATGTCTATGAAACCATCACAGAAAACAGGAACCCAACAGATGAGGAGAGGCACAGAGGCTAAAGGGCTGACATCTAAATCTGAGCCGCACGGTATCAAGTCAACACCACCGTCAAGGCGTTAATAAAAACCATTACATTTTCAAAAATGTTTTAGTTAGAAAGAATTAGAGATGCAGCAATCCGATACCTGGATCGGATATTGGGTCCAATATCGAGTAATTAGCTGGATCGGATATTGGTCATTTTATTGATTGATCTGTTATTCCTTATTTTTGCTGCTTGTTTGTTAGTAAATAATATAAAGCACATTTGTTATCAGTTCTAATTTTGTTAAGTTTTTAAACAATGTTTATGTCAAGGCTAAAGCCTTCACTCAAGCAGAAAGTTATATTGTTAATTTATTCAATGGCGCAAGAAAAATCTACTACTTTGGGTACATATGGGTACCGCTATACTCATCAAACATCCACTAAGAATTATTATTTCATAGTTTAAATAAAGATGAATTCTGCTATCTTGTTTATCATTGTTTTTAATTTTTGTTAATATATTTCTTAAGGAGAGTGACTAAATCAGTATTTAATGTGTTAAATATTATTCAGTACTTCACTCTCACATTCATGTAAGCACCCATGTTTATATCATTCCTCAAATGAGGAAGGCTTATGGTAAAACAAAACTATCAGTACAACTCGGTCAATATTTGAATGTGCACAGTGAACCCCTAAACCCTGGAAGAGTCAGACCGCAATTTCTTAAATGCCAGCAATTTAATCACCACAGCATCCATTACGGTGCAACTGGACCATAATGCATTCACGGTGAAGAGAAAACATCTAGGAAAACATTACATAAGCAGAGGGAAACCACAGCATTGCAAACATCACTTTACCACTTTGTTGTGGTTCATCTTAAACAAAACATGACAGACTCTCCACCTAATCATCAGTAACATCTCACTACAGAGGTTAGCTTACCTCTGAACATATCTCACAGATTGGCTTAACACACATCTATTCAAAATGTTTATATTAAAGCCTAAGGTATCTTTGCTTTACATGTAGCAACAGTCCCTGTTGCCAAGACAACCTGGCCAGCATGGCCATCTACTGATTACTCACCAATGAATGGAATGGAGTCCAGGGACTCATCCAAGTTGCTTGAGCAAGAGGTGTGGCGCTGTTCCTCAAGGCGGCGCATGTGCATCTCTCGACGAGCATCATTAGGGAGCCAGCAAACCGAGACGTCTGGTGTGGAGTCCGCTCCTTCTTCATTTACGGCCAAGATGTAGGAGGGGTGCCGCAGAGGGCTGGGGTTCTTTCCACCGTGAGGTTTCTCCCTCAGAACCACCCCACTCTCTGTAGGGGTTTGACCATTGACCTGACTTGGGGATTCTTGTTGGGCTGTTTTAAGGATGCCAGGCCTCTGAGGCTTCTCTCTCCTAGCAGAGAACGGTGAAGACCTGACTCCTCCTACTGCTGCATCCCTGCCTGCCTCAGAGGGTGGCATGGTTTCAGACCGCATCCTGTTCTGAGATTGTTGGACAATTTGGCCTGTATAGTGTCCTTTCACTGAAACTTTTTGGTCAGTAATTGAATGTTCAGCACTCTTCCCATAAAGCGTGGCGGACAGAATGGGTGAGGAGCGAGTCTGAAGAGAATCTGGTCCTTTAGAGTATAAAGAAGGGTTTGGTGGTCCTCTTATGCCACCTGGGTGTCCAGTTGATGGTCTGTAGGGCATAGCATTACTTGGCATGGGCTGCCTGCTCGGCCTTGTACCTTGGTCTGCCCTTGGATAACCTGCTCTCCTATCAGTGGGTCGAGCCAGCTCTACAGGTTCAACATAGTCTATGGAATGAGCCCGAGCTTTCAACATGAGGGCATCTTGGGATACGCTTCGAGGGGGCCAGTTCCTTGCATTACTCATTCTCTCCGAATTTTTTGTTCGGTCTTGTGAAGCACTACGAGGGGCAACCTGGAAGTGGGGTGGAGGTCCGTGGTATGACCGTTCGTGGGAGGTGCTCCTGCGCCGTATCCCTTTAGGAGCCCAGTCTCCCCTGGGAATGTGAGGAGCAGCGGAAAACGAGGCCTGACCTGCAGTTCGCAAATTGTCCAATCTCTCCTGAATTGTCCTACTTCCATGGGAATGGATGCCTTTGTTGTCAATGTACTCTCTATATGTCTGGTAAGTGCGCCAATCAATGTTCTGATGGTTGCCTGGGTAATTAGGTGCTTGACCTGCAAAGGGACCCATTCCTGGACCACTGGGATAGACATCAGCCTTTCGAGGGAAAGGATACTGAGCCAGCGACCCAGGTCTTCCCCTGACGTAGGCAGGGTCCATGAAATCAACCCTATGAGCCGAAACCACGCGTCCCATGTGTGCAGAGTTAGGAGGAACCACCACAGTCCTAACGCTATCGTTGCGCATGCACACAGCTGTTTGGCTTTTAGAATATGATTGACGAGGAGGAGATGGGGGCACGGTGATTTCTTTACGATACCCATAATCAAGAGATGCAGTGCCCCGGCAGACCTGGCCCGACGAGTCTGTCGCTTGGGCCATGCCCGTGGGCTTACAGTCTACTCTGGGGTAGCATACTGGGGGCGGATTAGGGATGTGACTAGCATTTCCTCTGTAGCTAGTGTAGCCACGCAGGTAGGCATCCTGAGAATAGGCCTGAAAACAGAGCAAGAAAGCCATGTTACAAGAGAGGAGTACAAACAGCAAGTGGGTGCGAGATTAAACAGTGGGACGCTAGATGCTTAAAGACAAGTCAAGTGTGATATTGAAAATGTTACTGGATGCATGTGTAGGCAGCGCCTGTTTCAGTGAGTGAGTGGAGGCGTTTCAAACAGCTGAGCAGTGTCAAAGCTCTTCATCTGCTCCTTATTTAGAATTTACTTGGTTATACTAGTGGACAACATGCTCTATAAACTAAAGAAAAACATTACGTTTACTATTTTTAGAATAAAAAAACATTTTTAGAATAAAAAAGATGAGAATCTCTCTGACCGTTAACAAACACAAAGTAAAGGAATACAATAAAAACAAGTACTCTGAACCTCATCATATTAAAAAAAAATACAACAAAATAAAACATAAAATGAATAGGAAGACAAATTATTGTAACGTACCTCAGACTGCAAGACCGTAACCTCTTATTGACAGCAAGTGCCTAATGTCTCATACAGAATGTTCTATAAATAGCCTGTCTTATTTTCATCCATTAGTAATGAGCCTATTGCATTTCCTTGGCAATACTATATAATACAAAAAGTTATACTTCAAACTTTAAAGGCCTAGAATATCCATTTTTTACTTCTCATAACACACACACCTATACAACAAGCCCTAGATGAGTAAAGGTGCAAGGACTTTGTCCCTTTAACAGTGTGGTGTTACAGCTCAGCCTTATAATAAAACTGTGAGCCACAGCAATCAGTTCCTCCCCTTTAAAAGCATGACTGTAAACATGAGTTCAGAGGTCAGCAGCCTTTATGAGATTGATGACATCTGACATAAAAGATGAGGAGGAGGGCGAGGCTTCCCAAGCTCTAACTCTAACAGGTACTGCAGGCATCGGCCATGTCTGCAGTCTAAATATTTGAGTCATAAGCACACATCTGATCATTAACCACATGTCCCAGACAGCTGTGTGGCAGCCACCCTCGACAGAAATCCTGTGCTGTTGATGACATGCACGACACATGCAAAATGACAAAACAGGTACACCATGTGACAGGTACCCAGTGTACCGTTGGTTTGTTGTTTTTTTTAAACCAGATTAGTTGTTTCTCTAGAAAAAGACTGCCGTCTTAGCAAATGAAAGCATGAGCATTGATAAATGATGGGAAAGAGGCTGAATGAGAAAAAAGCTGACAGCAGAGTAGAAGGCATGTATTGTAACACAAAATAACCAATTCCAAGAGCATGAAAGATGAATCAGCCATAGCAAAGCCTGGAATTGACATGCTAAAAATACACTGGAGTTGCAGCAGCAGTACACAAGGATGAAACGGCAAAGAGGTAACAAGGGTTGCCACGTTACAACCTGCCTGTGACACACTGTCCTGGATGAGGTGACAGGAACAGAGGCTTGGTTTCCATTCTGCTGTTAGGTCTCCATGGCTCCATCCATCTTCAAACAGAATATTACGCTAACTGAACAAGGTGTCTCCAGTCTCTGTCCCCTCTCTCTCTCCCTCTCTCTTTTTCCCTCCCTGCTACCGCTCACATGACAGAGGCAGCAGCTGCTGATTATACATTCAGCTGTGATGGTACAGCTCACCCCTCCCACATCTTCCTCCTCCCTCCTTTTCACTAAGCGTCAACCTGTTTGAAACACGGAGCAGCTGATTTCACCCTGTGGTTTAGGCTCATCATTTACGCTTTTCCCTCCCGTTTTCCTGCTCACCATTTCCTCTGCTTTAGTGCTGTAAGGTTCCCTCCCTTTCCTGCTTCATAAATGTTCTAGTCTCTCTCCCTTTGCTAAGCAACTGCTGCCTGTCTCCAAGCTCTCAGTGCTTGTTGCCGCCTACAGTGTCATTTCTCTCTGCTAGCATCTGTGATAATCCCCTGATTTTTGCAGAAAGATCATAGTTTGCTTGTGTACACTATGGATATTTCTGTGTTTCCGTTTTCTTGTCGGTTAAGTAAGAATGTGGTGAGAGGAAACACAACACACGCATAGGAGAGGGAACTGCATAAATGACTACAGACAGAAAACAAATGGAGCCAGGGGAAGACTTTCATTGAAGACTTTTAGGGAAGCGGGTGGAATAGCTGTGACCGGAGTATCAGAGCTTGCTTAATATTAATAAAAAGAAAAAATTATCTAACACGTGCAGTCCTGGGAAGAAGTCCTTCTACCTTCTTTCCTTTTGCTTTTTTTGACACGCAAGTTTAAGATCATCAAATAAATCTACAGACAATATCTGTAGAGAAGGGGAATCCAAGTGCCTCCCCTTATTTATTCATTAATTTACTAATTTAATACATTTTGAGAGAAACTAACTTAAAGTTCAAAAGACACACCTCCCGGACTGATAACTTTCTAAAAAAAACACAAAGTAGGGTAAAAGATCTTAAAAAGAAAGTTGTCCTGTCCTAAGCTTTAAAGATGTATATGAAAACAGATGTTAAGATATCTTGAGGTATCTCAGTCTGGAAAGGGTTACAAAGAAATTTCCTCAGGCTCTGGGGTTCCAGCTTACCAAAATGAATGCCTCTATTTACAAATGGAGAAAGAATGCTCTGTCTCATCCAGGAGGTCATAAAGAATTCAACACATCTAAACCACAGAAGTCATCACTTAAAACAGTTGAGATCAGTATGATATATATAGACTTCCCGTTCAAGACGGACTTCTGTCATCTGCAGAAATACTTGATGATTATGCAGTTGTTGGGGGCATCAGAGATGGACAAGCAGCTGAGTACAGGGAGAAAGTGGAGCTACCATGGGGTCGAAACAATCATCCCACTTTGAACACAGGAGATTATTTTAGATTTTAGGAGACGTAGAAAAAGGTCCAACATTACTACGGCCATGGGGGAAGAAATGGAGGTGGTAGAGGCACATAAAACCCTCAGTGTTCACAAGGACAACAGACTAGATAAGGGAGACAACTGTTCGGCCATCTAAAAGAAAGGACAGGGCAGACTATAGTCCTAAAGAAGCTTAAGTCCTTCAGTGTTTGCAGCTAAATGTTGGGGATCTTGTAGAAGTAGAGTCTTGGCAATGTGTTGCAATACAATACATGTCACAATACAATATTATCACAATATTGCAATATCACCCTATATTGAGATATTTTACCCAGCTATCAAAATTCAGTTATTTTGGTATCGATGTTGTTTGGGGTTTGAATCAGTCCACGTCATCTACTGTGACTGCCTCAACTACAGATATGGTGCTGCACCGCACAGCAAAAGGGCTCCACAGCGCTATCTGCCAGAGTGGCGGTGCAGAGGTAGCCCATTTTCACTCATTGTTTTTAGGTAAAAAATTTTTTTTTTTATTATTATCCATATTAGGAACTGAAAAATCGATATTGTATTGGGCAGTCGAAAATCACAATAATTCCCCAAATCGATTTTCTCCAACATCCCTATCCATAAGTGTGTCGCAGGGAGTGTGATCTGCTATTGTCTGCAGGGGTAACAGATTCAGAGGAAATGACAAGCTGATAAATTAGACTTTGTTCTAGGAAACTCCTCCAGAACCTCTGGAGATGATTTCACAAAGAAGAAATGTTTGTAAAATTAAGAATATGATGGACAATAGTGGACATCCTCTTCATTAGACTGTCTTACTACAGCAGGGTCTTTAGTCAGAGGCTTCCTCAAATCTGCTGCAGGGTAGACTGCTACAGGAGATCCTTCCTACCTACAGCTATTAACATCAATAAAGTAGTTTTGATGTTTTTATTTCTGTTTCAGAATTATTAAAGAGACTGCAAATAGCATTCATGAGAGAGTTAGGACGTGAGAATCAAGGCTGATATTTGAGTGTTCATCTATTAACAACTAAATAAAATATTAACACTATATCAGAATCAGAATTATATAATGACTACTTGAAGAAAGTAATTCAAATTAAGGGATTGAACCATTTCATTTTAATAGATGCAGAGATTATCTAATTACATCAATATTTATTTCCTATAATTTACTATCTTAGAATAATGATTAGCAGTCTTACTTGTGCTGCATATCCTAATAAAAATCAACCATTATACCTGCTAAATATATATAATAAAAGTGAGTATAGTGATCAATGATTGTAAGGATTTAATGGGGCCTTTTAGGATCCCCCATGAGAAATGCCCATCAGGCAAATATATTAATGGTTTTAATATAATGTTTAAATTTGTAAACACATTGGCAGACTATAAACCTCTAAGGAAGGGACTTCCTGTTATAGTTCACACAATAGATTCGCTCAAGATATGGAACAGAAGAGAACACCTTGATTTAGCAGAATCAATAGCAGCTCCCTACAGCTCCTTGCTGCATGCATTAAAGATTAATGAGGAAAATTCCCACCTGTTAAGGTGAATGTTTTTCCTGTGATGCTTAAGAAACAGTGTTCAGGTAAAAGTGTAAATAGCATTTTATTCTCTTCAATGCAACTTTAACACACTTGTAAAAAACAAACAACATTTGCTTTTTCTGTTTCTCTAAATGTATATTATCTAAGCCCTGAGGGCCACCATGCAAAAAATATCCATCTTTATTTAGTCTATGTTATTCTTTTTGAGAGAAATATATATTATTGTTTTATATAAGAATTAATTAAATCCAAGAATGACTACAAAAGAAACAAATTTGAGTTCTTTTATCACTACGGAATCCAATAATCTAAGATTAACTCAGTGATATGCTCGTAAACCTGCTGGCTCTGCTTGTGGATAATTTTTTTTGCTCTCTCACAGACTGGTGTTGGATCGTCACCTAGCGACCTTTCCAGCCAATAGAACGACTGCCTCAGAAAGGGTGTGCTTGTTTTCTTCTACTGAGTTTGCTGGTTACTGCTTATCGATCATAAAATTTCTTTTCAAAGGTTTTCTTCAAACCCAATTATGTTGAATGGTCTTTGATATGCCAAAACAAAAATATAAACTGTTAAAAAAGTGAACAGATTCATGAACCATTTTAGCTTCTATAAAAGTAGGCTACTTTCTTGGGAATCTTGGAGTCAATCAATCTGCACGCCTGAGGTGAACACAAAAGCCCCACTTAAGAGTATGCTAGTCAGGGCAAATGCTAATTCTACCTACAACAGAAAATTAGCTGACTTTTCATTGGTGGTTTTGTTATCATCCCTTTAATTAATTAGCTTTTTATTATTTTTTCCTAATCGTGTTTTCAGCTTCTTATCTTATTAGAATTTACACTGAAAAGCAATTTTATCAGTAAGCAGTAACAGGCAAACTGAGTAGAAGAAAAAAAGGACACCCTTTTCTGAGGTTGTCGTTCTATTGGCTGGAAAGGTTGCTAGGCAACAATCTGACTCCGGTAGGAGAGAGAGCAAAAACAATCCACATGCAGAGTCAACGGGCTTGCGACTGTATCTCTGACTCGAGCAGAGACTGGTTTGCGCGTGCGGAGGAGGAAATAATCGAGAGGAGAAAATATCTGTGCTAGAAGCATTTGATCAGAGAGCAGAAACAAAGATTTGATGGAGAAGATAATATATTTGGCGGAAAACAGAAGTTTTTAATGCGAGCATTATAAGTTTTGAGTTCAAGTAGAGAAAATCCTGCTGTCAACTTGAAAATGTTTGCTCTTGGTTTTTGGCAGGGAAAATCCTCCACAGTATTGTACTGATACCAATGATGCACAGTCAACAGTTAAAACCTAAAATTACTCTTCAAAAGTGGTAGTTTTGTGATTGCAGTTTATTTCATGTGGACACTTTCTTAAAAACCAAAGAGGAACCCAGCAAAAAAAGTATACTACTAGCATACAGTAACTATTTGATCATACTAGACCAGTATGCTGGTAGCATTAAATTTTTTGATAAAACCAAAATATTTTAACATGTTGCAGCCTATTAACTAAGGTGAAGAATGGGGGAGGATTGTTTGGGTCATGTCTTATTGTTTTCTGCAGAGATCTAATGAATAAATGAGCTAAAAAAAATAAAAATAAAACAACATCCACAACATAAAATCAAAGACTTCTAAAGCTTGGACATTTTATTTTACATTAATGTCATCAAAGTGTAATTTTGTGGAGCTTCTTTCTGCAGTGAATTTAGGGCATTTGCATTTCCACAGTGATGTTGGCTGCAGTTCTAGAGGACAGAAAGTATCCCATGGCCTGATTAGGAGGCCCAGATAGAGCACACTGATGGGACAGCCTGGATGTCTACATCTCATGACTACCGTCCCAACTTAAACTCTTTAAAACTAGAGCAGCTCTTAGAGAACAAAAGTTATTAAATAAAAAATGTCCTTTAGAGGAGTTTCTATAAAAAAAATAAAAGGTCAATCTTACCAGCTGCAGTATATCTTCATCTTTTGGCATCACACACAGCTCTAGAAAGTCGCCACTTCGGGTAGGAAAAAAAAAAGAAAAAAAAAAAGGTTTAGAGCACAGTCGAATGAAGCATAAATATATCCAACTCTCATAATCTTACCTATCTTGAATCAATGTTATCACCTCAGAATAAGCTTTTCCGATTATGCTGGCCCCATTCACCTTCACTATTCGATCACCTAATCAAACACAGAAGTATCATCAACCAGGCCGCAGTTTGTAAAAGGCCTGCCACACAGATCAAACATCTGACAAATCCAGCAAAAAATAAAAAATAAAATGATAAAAGGGGAGCAGGAAAAAAAAAAAAGTAAAAGATCTGCTCTACTAACAGACTTTCTGCCTTTGAAAGTTTTTCCAGGACTTTTGGGGGAAAAAAAGAAATGAAAATAGTAAATGCTGGATGCCTATTACCTGTACAAAGCCCAGCTTCATGAGCGGGACCTCCTTCCTTGACTTGTTTCACAAAAATAGTGTCCATGGGTTCCAACCTGTTCCTCTGCCTCCCTGGAAAAACACACAGAAAATAAATTATTCAAGCTGCCTCAAATGTTTAGTAGTGTTTTTACATGTTCCTATTTTGTATAATCTAAAATTAAAATACAAGCTTCACGCTAAAAACAAACTGTGAAAAGAGTTCCTGTGTGAGAACAGAAAAAAAAATCTGTGGCAGTTTGGTTGGAAAATGATGACAAATCAGACAGAGTCATTCATAGAGTCAATCTGTATGGGTTTAAAAGGACATGGATCAGAATGACCAAACACAGGAAAACCTGTTTGCTCATGCAGCCCGTGTCTCCTAGCAGCTGCGTGGCTGCGGAAATAAAAGAAGAGAAGAAAGAGAGGAGGAGTGGGGCAAAAGAAACTAAGGAGGAAGAGTGACAGAGTACTCAGCTGTACACCTCCTACTCTTTTCGTGCAAACTGAGAAATAGCTGTGGGCACAGCCAGAGAGTGGCTAAAATACTTCCCCAGTAGTTAACATTCTGGTGGTGAGTCAGGACACACTACCTTGCTAAGTCCAGCAGACGGGAAGTCCAGCATGAGATCACATGTGACAGTTTGTGACTTAACGTGCTATTGTACTGAAGGTATTCATTCAAATAACGTCAGATTAGAGCAAACTTAGAAACCTGTTATCATGTTATAAAAACCACTGTACTAGACTGCTATAAACTGACCAAATAATTTCACCTTTAAGCTTAAAGGCCCAAGCTTTTTTTTTAAGTTAAGAATCGATCAGACTGATAACTTGTGACCTAGTTTTGTTACTTTATGAACACAACAGATAAAAAAAAAATCAAACAAAATCAAAGCAATGAATTTTGCATTGCATAATATAACAGAAAAGTCCCTCAGAAGGACAGCTGGGAGAGACATACTCCCTCTGGTGGTGTCCTATGGAGCTGTATTTCTTCAAGGCATCTATTCATAAACCCAACTATGAGAGGACTCTTTCCTCTTTGCACACAGAAATCACATGAAACAGAAGGAATTTGTAAAAAGAAAAAATTATTCATACATTATCAGTATGAGTCAGCACAGACAAAATAATACCTATATATTTTTTTACAGTTCAGGTGCGCAGATCAGACTTCCACACTCTTTTTGTTGGTTTAGGGAAAAGGTAAAAAAGGAAAAGGAAAAGGTAAAAATCCAACCAATATGAGAAATTATAGTTTTTC